GTTGTTTGATCTCTCAAGTCAGCGAGGAATAAACAACTTTTTAATCTTTATTCAGTTGTGTTCATTCACAAATTCATCATGATGGTTCTACAGTAGTCTTCAAGCACCCACAACATAAGAAAACCAATTTCTGAAATTAATAGAATATCCATCATGTCTGTCAGTTGAAAGGCTGCAGTCTTTAAAACCAGATACTTCTTTTCGCTCCTGCACTTCAAATCTCTTTCAAGAAAATGATGGATTTGTGTTTTGTGTAAAAACATGTAAAGTTATCCGAAAGTTTGTAAATTATTTAAATGGAGAGAAGAAATAAAGACAAAAAACAAACCAGCTACTGATGTTCGTTAAGTTAAAAAATCTTTTGATGTTTGTGTATAGATAACTCATGATAAGAAATCGTTGAAAAGGATGCAGTGTTCATGAAATCTTTACATCTGGGGATCCAAAACTAGCGTTAAATTTCCTGTTAAGTTGAATTGATGTACGTTTTTAAGCCTTGTCTACCCAAAAGAAAACAAAAGACTCTTTAACGAGATTTTCGTTCTACTTGCCAGTCGTAAATAAACAGTTTAATTGCGAGGCCATTAAAGTTCTTGTATTACAACGTCCAAAATAAATAACGTTTTGTTTGTTTTTTGCTGCCGATATGTTATTTCAACCTACTTATCTCCCCTTCATGGCGTATTGAAACTGAAAGTTGATTGAAAGACTCGGTAATTAAAAACTTGTGGAATTCAGAAGCAAATAATCTGTCAATTTTCAGAGAAAAAACGCAGACGGTTAATATTATTCTTAGAATAACAGAATATTATACTCAATAACAATCAACCTGGTGTTATATCAACTTTCAGTTGTGGTTGACTTTGTGGTAATGGAGGGATGAACTGCCTAAATGTGCCCTCACAACGAGTTTGCAGTCATGAGTTTTAAGGAGACAGATGGGCCATTTTGGTGGTAGATTTTAGTCTTGAATATATATAAATAGTCTTCAGAAAAATGTAGGAAAATTATATCATTTCTTTAAATAAAAATATTTCAAACTAGGAAATTTACTCACTATTTCATCATTTTAATATTCAAACGCAGATAATTCTGGACAGACATGGATATTTGGAACTATATCAGAACCACTTTCATTATTCGCGCCATGCGTAACTGGCAATCACTATGGTGTTAGGGCATCTGAAATGAACACTTAAAATTTTGAATATCAGAATAAGAATATCTGAAGAAAGTATCAGAGATCTCTCAGACCTTTATGGGACAGCGAAAGGGTGTGGTGTGGTCTCCCTTGACATATTAGCATAAGCTCACCTTATGGTTGAAATAACTTTTGGTTTGGATGCAAACAGATAAAGAAAAATTGTTATTGAAGAAAGATTGAATTCTGGTCTCCATTCATCTTTGTATAGAATTGTCTGAAGATTATTTTCTGTGTTCAAATCATATTCTGAAATGATTTTTGATAGGAGTTTAAGATTGTATTCTTGTGTTGTTCTATTGTCTAACAAAATGAAAACCTAGCTGATAGCGTCTGGGTAAGATAGAAGCCTTTTGTTAAAAGATTCCTGACAAATGTGGAATAGATTAGAAAGTAAAGGGAATACTGACATGTACAAAACTCAGTCAGACAGAAAGCAGAATAACATTGTGAAAAATGTACATTTAAATGATTCCACTGTGATGAAGGCTGTCTGTTTAAAACATATTGGATGTAAAGGTGCAGTCAGCCAGATGGAGCTTGTTTAAAACTTGTAAACAAATTTCTCTTTTCAAGCTGCTTTCACACTACAGTATCTGTTTGTTCCATAACTAGATCATCTTTACAATGTCAATCTATCATGAACATCGTCTTATACCTTGACTACAATAGCCACCCTTTTCGTATTCTTGCAGTTAGTGCAATGATTCTGTTTGATTGGATAATACGTTAGCGAATACAGCCAATCAGAGCCCTCGATAGAATGTCTGTAAAAATAAGCTATAATGTTTATAGTCTTTCTGTCAAGGTCTCTGATTGGCTGTATTTGCTGGTGTACAATACAATAAAATTGCTGCATTCTGTGATACATTTAAGGTGACTGGCAGTTAAGGTATAAGACAAAGTTCGTTATGTCCTTGACCATGCCTAATCTTAGTTGAATTAGTGCTTATTCTTCTAGAACTAAATGCTTGATTATGCCATCACCCAGCAGTCACATCTCTACCATTCCACATCTCCACATCTCTACCATTCCACATCTCTACCATTCCACATCTCTACCATTCCACCATTCCATTCTACAAAAATTTTAAGCTGTGACCTTTTACTTTTTTGGCTTCTTGATTAGGACTTACGGATATATTGCTATTAGGGATCTTGTCTGCCATGTTCGATGGTATAGACTCCACTCAGAAATAGTTTAGTGTAGATTGGACTCCAGTGTTATATTTACTAAGACAGTTGTTCCTGGCAGGACAAGGCACGTTATCGTAATGCCACATTATTCTTAAAGTATGAAGAATGAATTTCCAATAAAAACTCACATTTAGCAGCTTGATTTTCAAAAAAAATGATAAAAATGCATCAAAGTGCTTTTTCGAATATTTTAAATACATTCTATTTTGTTTTTGTTTTTAGAGCAGAAATATTGACATATTTTGAAACTGTAGAAAAATTCAAAATACATTAAGGAAAAATGAAGTGCATTTGCTTGAGAAGATTCAAAGAATGTTATCTTTTGAATGTAATTTTTTCTGCCGTGTTTTTCTGACTGTCTTGATGTCGAAGTCTGCAAATTATTCTTTAATGTATTCGATATTTTTTATGCAATTAGCGTCGGGTCATTGTGACCTTGAAAGTCAAGGAATGACAAAGAAATGTAAAAGACATGTGAGGCAGCCGAGAGATTTATCGTTGTCGTAATTAGAAAGGGCCGTTGAATGACTGATTCTGAAACAAGTCATTTGATGCTTCAAATTCAAATCTTCTCTTTAATTTAATCTGTCTTCATTACAGGGATCCTGGACTTCCTCTATCTTTCTGGCCAGTGATATTTTTATTTTAAATTTGGTTCGAAGGATGGAAAGATTTCTGAATAGAGAATGACTTCCAAAACATGTTCAAATGGTAAATTAGTCCCTCAGTACCACTTCAAGGGAGCTGTGGTCGTCTTATTCTTCAGCTGATATTTTCCACAACCTCTATTTTTTTTTTATCCCTTACTGTGATCTGTGACAAATTGAATATTGAGGATTAGGATTTAAAACTTATTTAATTTCATTAGTCCAAAAAGATACAGAACAGTAGGATATAAAACTCTATTTCATTTCATTAGTCCAATAAGATACAGAACAGTAGGTTATAAAACTCTATTTCATTTCATTAGTCCAATAAGATACAGAACAGTAGGATATAAAACTCTATTTCATTTCATTAGTCCAATAAGATACAGAACAGTAGGTTACAAAACTCCATTTCATTTCATTAGTCCAATAAGATACAGAACAGTAGAATATAAAACTCCATTTCATTTCATCAGTCCAATAAGATACAGAACAGTAGGTTATAAAACTCCATTTCATTTCATTAGTCCAATAAGATACAGAACAGTAGGTTATAAAACTCCATTTCATTTCATCAGTCCAATAAGATACAGAACAGTAGAATATAAAACTCCATTTCATTTCATTAGTCCAATAAGATACAGAACAGTAGGATATAAAACTACATTTCATTAGTCCAATAAGATACAGAACAGTAGGATATAAAACTACATTTCATTTGTCCAATAAGATACAGAACACAAGGACATACATGTAAAACTCATTTCCTATAGCCCGATACAGAACAGAAGGTTTTTAAACTCTGATGCCGTTTATCAGATCTTAGATCTTGCTTTGTGATTTCCAATTTGTGGTGAATCAAACTCCAGAAGAAATTCATTACAGCAGATGTTTCAGTAGCAAAAAAACATGTGGAAACAGCAGGACTACAGACAACAGAGGAATGGCCTTCTCTTTATTAATTTTACTGTGGTATATCTTTAATTCTTTGTTTCAGATGATGAACACTAAGATATATTTGCACTTAATGACAGTAGAATGCAGGGATGTGTATTCACTATCTGTGAAAAAGGCAAATCTGCTTCTGGCATTGTGGGAGATTTGTTTATTGATCTGATGGTATTTCATGATTTTCATCTATATATTAGTGGCTGTTGCCGAGAGAACAGGCCATGCTTACACTATTTGAAACACCCTATGGTACTTCTTGTTTGAGGAGTCCACTACTATACAGTCACTACTCCCAATTTTGTCTTGCTTTGGACAGATTTTTGCTTAATGGAATTGTTTTGCTTATAGGGATTTTTATTTTTGATTTCTTAACAGATAACAGTCATAAATAGTTTTGTATCTGTTCTACAACCCTAAAATATGGCACAACTGAATAATTCTTATTTTGCACTTGGAGTCTATTTCATTGCATTCAATTCAAGTATGGTCAAATTTGTATCAAGCAAGTCGTTGAGAAAATGCTAAAAATTGGCCACTTATTGAAGGTGTTGCTTAACTGAGGGCCATGTTGTACAGGAAGGATTTCTACTGGGTTTTGAAGGACTACACTGAATATATTCAAATGTTTGTGTACAAGTTTAACTGTATATTTTCTAAGATCAGAACCAACAAGGACTTGTCACAATCACAATAAGTGGGTTCATGAGATGAAAAATTCAATTAAAATACAAACTACAGAGGCAAATGATTGTAGGCACCAAAACTATTGGTTTCACCATTTAATGAAATTTTTATATAAATTTTGTTATTTTGAAATGTTTATGTAAATTTTGTTATTTTTCAGGCAAGTGTCAGTTATTCGTGGTCGAGTAACAACTAAAGATGGTACACCGTTAATAAGTGTCCGAGTTGGCGTGGTTACACAGCCTCTATATGGATATACACTCACTAGAGATGAGGGCGTGTAAGTAGACAATTTCTCAATTACTGACGATTGTTTTGAATATGTAGATTCCATTGTGTTGCTATCACGGCAGATCAGTTTTTGGGTCGCTAAAATAAAGTTATTATTATTATTATTATTACTACTTGATAACGTTACCTGTATGTGTAATGAAACATTGTGTTCAATAATAAATAGAAGTCTATATCCATAAAAACTGTTGTTTCTTAATTATTATTACTCTTCTTAAACCTTGCGTTACTTTGTAAACTTTACTTCCTGTTTGGAGAATCCTTACGACTAAAATTGTATATTTCTTATATTTATTAAAAAATTTGCAGACTTTACGCTGAAAGTCAAAGTCGTTTAAGATATGACTGGTAAATGAAACCAAATTAACGCTCCTGAAGTCTTCATTGGCACTTAAATTGTCCAATTGTCTGCTTATAAGAATTAGAAAGCTATCATTATTATGTGTAGTCTGTAAACGATGTTGATGATAAAAAGACTGAAGCGAGCTCGAAGAATCAATATTACGTTGTCTGTGTGACATCATCCAGCCATGTTATAACATTCAAACTAAATTAAATGAGGCAATATAAAGATCATATAAAGACTTGTTATTAATCGTAAAACTACCATAAATGAAATTGATTTTGATTAAATTCCTGATTTTTATGAACTGGATATTTGTCTGTCATGTTGTGTTCTGTTTTTTGCTGATTTGTTTATTTGGATTTGAGACTAGCCATCTTCACAATGTCAAGCTATTACAAACTTATTCTTATACCTTGACTGCAATAGCCACCTTTCTTGTATCATTTGATTGGATTGTATACCAGAGAGTACAGCCAATCAGAGCCCCCAACAGACAGCCAAGCCCCTACCCTCTGAAACAAATGTAGGGGAGCAACCCTCAGACTCCCATTCATCTAGTTAAGCTACAGCCTCAGAATATTTTTCTTGATATTTGAAATCGCCTGCTTGATCCTTTTCCCAAAGATCTTCTGATTCAAATTTAGCGTTAAAATATGACATTCGACTCAAGCCAATGACCTTGACCTTTATATTTCAGATTTGATATTTTGGTCAATGGTGGTGGTTCAGTAAAACTGGAATTTATTCGTCAACCCTTTGCTACTAAAACAGCCAGTGTTTTGGTACCATGGAATCAGATCATCACCATGGATACAGTTGTCATGACGTTACGAAATGAACCTGAATCGATGGCCGATCCTGCGCTGTGCAGCGTAGAACATAAGCACTACCTTCTAAGACCTGTAGTACTGTCGACATGGCAACACACACAGCTTGGCGCCTGTCCTGAAAGAAGTACCATTATTCCAGAGTCACAGGTAGGCACCTATTCCAATCTTTCTGCTTTCTTTTAGCTAAAAATGAGTTAAGGATTAGTAAGTCGTAAGGAATGGTCGATAAAAATTTTTAAAAAAAAGTTTGAGGTAGATCATCACTGGCTAAAAGTAGAAAAATAATTAAAGATTTTAGACCCAATTTAGGTCTGTAATGAAGTGATACCAAATCAGAAAAAACTTGATATACAGGAAAATATATGGATAGGATGAAAATCAGCATTATTCTTCTTCAAATTGATATTACAATTTAGGCCTTCTAACAGCAAACCTGCAAGGGATGTTCTATCTCTTTATGTATCAGGGGCCATTTATGGCTCCTACTTGCATCATTCTAAGTATCCCCAATACACTTTAAAATTCTTTCAAATTCTAGCGTTTGCATCAATATGTATTTGATCATTTCATCATCAGCGTTCTAAATCATATTTTTTCAGGTCCTTCAAGAAAGTCTGCCCATCTCGGGAACAGACGTCCATCTTGTCTACCACAGTAGTGAGTCCCCAGGGTACATGTCCTTGATTCTCATCCAGATGACCCCAGCCACCATCCCCAAACTTCTGTCATTGGTCCACCTGAAGGTGTCTGTAGATGGGGTAGTGACGGAGAAAGTTTTCGAAGCCGACCCCAACTTGAAATATACCTACTCTTGGAATCGTAAAAATGTTTTTAATCAGAAAGTTTATGGTATTGTTACTGCTAGAGGTAGGTTGTAAGCCATTCTAGAGGGGGGAAAGGATCAAGAGGGTCTAAGAATGTGACGCTAAGTGCAAAAGAGAGACAAAGTAAATAGTCCAGGCTCTCCATGCTACATTCTGTGAAAGTTAAATATCCTTCGACAGTTGGAAGAGTAATCTAATGCCACTGTCTTGGAAAAATGTCCCTAATTGTACACTGCATGGCATTGCCCATCTTTATTAGCACAATTAGGTGCAGAAAAGTAGGGCGTAAAACTTCATGTGTTTTTTTTTTTCCAGTAAATGTTGGCTATCAGTACCAAGGCTGTGAATATATATTCTGGGAAACACGATCTACAACACTCAATGGTTTTGATCTGACATCATCAGAAATTGGAGGCTGGAATCTTGATATTCATCATACATACAACTTTCAGGAAGGTAGGTGATGTTTTATTGTTTATTTAAAAGGATTTAGGACCATCAAGAAAAAACTATATTCTCTAAGGATAACAAATTTGGTTCATGATTAAGGATCCTTTCTACCAACTGGTCCTTGGCCAAACCTTTTGGCAACTTTCGTTGATGATGATTTCTTCAAGGTCATCGACTGTCACATGCTGTTCCTTTACAAATGACTTCATGCAACTTAATGAAATATTTTGAATGACTTTTTTCCAGGTATCTTACATAAAGGTGATGGTACTAATATCTATCTGAAAGAAAAACCGAAGAAGATAATAAACATCCTGGGTACCGGGGAGAGAAGACAGTTAGATTGTAATGGTTGTAATGGCAAGGCGAGAGATAATAAACTCCTGGCTCCTGTAGCTCTAGCTAGTGGTCTAGATGGCAGTCTGTATGTAGGAGATTATAATTTTATACGGAAACTATCGCCAGAGAGAGAAGAAATTGCCAGTATTCTACAAATGAGGTAAACATTTAATATTGACCTACTTCTTCCCCTAATAATCACAGATCATACTTTATAATTCTATGTTTAGAAAAACGTTTTCATTAGGTTAGAATTATATAAGAATATATTGAGAATTCACAAGATTTTTGGCTGTCTTAGTTTTTTTGGCTGTCTTGGTTTTTTTGGCTGTCATGCTTTTTTTGGCTGTCATGCTTTTTTTGGCTGTCATGCTTTTTTTGGCTGTCTTGGTTGTTGGATTTCAACATTACGTTGTCCTAAAGTTTGCTTAATAACATTATTGAACTGTTTTTTTTTTAAATTTCTGATAACAACATATCTCACATCTGCTATATTTTTTTCCACCAATAACAATGCAATATATTTATATTGTCATTTATCTTGTCTGAAGGCTTGCCAAATAACGTTATTAAACATGTTTGATATACTGATATTATCAAATAACACATGCCAGTGCCATTATGTTTTCTGTCCTTTCACCAGTAATATTTCCATAAACAGTTGAGGGAAACATTTAGATAAAAACTTCTAACACTTTCAGATCAAGTTGGTCTTTTTATCCACCATATTTTACGAGATTTTAACCAATCACTAGAGACTAAAACATTTACTGCAATTTCTCTAAAAGCTTTTGTTGATATCGAGTCAAAAGATAGAGGCGTAAATCTGAAATGAACATGCAACATAGATCTTTTTCTGTAATCTTTTTCCGATGTATTTGGTCCCAGAACTCAGAGATAAAAAGCTTTACGATGTTTTGTAATTGCTTTTAACTTGATTAAAGCATATTCTTTTGAGCTCTAAGCTATTTCTCTGGAGCTTTTATTTTTCTGCAATTGATCAGTAGTTAAGTGCTTTCTCACCTTTCTAAATATGTTTCAATTCTTTTAAGTGAGTAAATGGTCATTTTTTTGAGATGTTGGCAAGTAGTTTTTTGGATTGAAACACAATAAGATATCCAATGTTAGAATGAAATTCTAGTTTGTGTCATCAGTTTAACAAAATGACAAAAAGAAAAAGGAGCAATCACACCACCACCAAGATGATTATGGACAATGGGCAGTATTTGTGTGAAAAATAGTACTGGAAGTTTGTTGAGTTTTGTATGGTAAATTCTGAAGGTCTGAAACTCTTAGTAACAAAAATTTAAGATTCTGTTCTTATATTTACTCGCCATTATTTCTATTTTCAGCACCAAAAATGTTCCATATACGTTCTACATGACGGTCAGCCCAGTTGATGGAAAATTATATATCTCAGACTTCATGTCCCATAAAGTGATCAGGGTGAAAACCATGGGTCCAGTCCGAGATTTGACAGAGAATATGGAAGTTGTGGCTGGTAATGGAGAGGAATGTACCCCAGGGGAGGCTGATCTCTGTGGGGACGGGACTGTTGCTACGTTAGCCAGACTGAGGTATCCTAAAGGTAGGCCTGGTTTGATTAGAGTGTTTATTGTAAGGACACTGGCGTGATTCAGATCAAAATCTTTAAATAAGGTCCAATTCATAAAGAGGAATTGGGAATGTCCTCATCAAAATCACAATCCAAAAGTCAAACGTGCTTATCTTAAGCAGAAAACCTGAATGTGCTTATCATAAGAGCAATTCATAAGCCAGGGAACAAAATCACAAGGAGAAATTACAGTTTACTAATCATCAAGCAGATGACAATCCAACTCTGAATTTTTAAGTGCTCTTACAACAAGGTTCGTCTCTTGGAAGACTATTTCTAAATGTAAAATTCTACACTTCAACAAATTCTTATCGTAAGAGTTTTTGTGAAACAGGGTCCAGATATATCAAGGCCACTGATTTAATCAGGTTCGCTAGATAATTGGTATATTAATATTTTACTTTTGGTCAATTGCAGGTATTGCTATTAACAAAGATGGCGTAATCTATATAGCAGATGGTCCGAATATCAGACGAATCACGTCTGATGGGGTTATTAATACTTTGATTGGTACACAGGAACAGTTACGAAAATGGACTCCAATGCCTTGTGATGATATTCTACCCGCTGAAAGCGTAAGTGATTTTAAAAAACTTTTCTGTGGCAAAGATTTTGAATATTTATCAAAAACTGAAGATATGGAGTTGTATGTTTTTAACTCCGAATAGAATTTTTTTTGTCCTGAATGAGTTGATTTTTAGTAGTTGACCAATCAGATGACACTGAGTTAATTTGTCTCGAATAAAGCCACTTGAGCAATCACAGGAAATATATGGTCGATTTATCTGTCCAGGTTCTAGTTTCGACCCACTGTGTTCACAGCTTTATTCTATAACTAGATTGATTGTAATTGCTGTTAAAAGACCCAGACAATCTTCAATAGTTAACTTGAATTCCCTGAATCCTATTGCCATTTCGTGCTCAAATTTTCACCAATGTTTTGGGTTTCCTTGTTAAAGGGAAATAACCACAGAATTGATGATCTTGTCAACTGGTGTCTGTAATTCACATATCAACAAACTCGTTCTTACTTTCAGGTAAGCCTAAAATGGCCGACAGCGTTGTCAATAGATCCCTTGGATGACACACTCCACATTCTAGACCAAGGAATAGTACTGAAACTAACCAAGGATTACAAGTTGGTGACTGTGGCTGGCCGACCTGTATATTGCCCTCCACGACAAATCAGCTTCCTACCTGCTGGTGTGCTAACTGACGACGAACAAGCCTCTAATGTAGCAGATCATGTGACTTTAGTGTCGCCATCTACTATTACTTTTGGTCCCCATGGTGATTTATATATTGTTGAAAGTGATACTCATCATATCAACAGAGTTCGAATTGTGACAACGGATGGACGAATTCATCATTTCGCGGGAACCAAATCAAAATGCGATTGTCAAAAAGCATGTAAATGTTATGATGCCAAGGAAAGACTGGCTGCTCAAGCCTTGTTCAGTACACCGACTTCAGTCACTGTCACTCCAGACGGAATTTTACACATTGCAGATTTGGGAAATCAGAGAATCTTTTCGATCGTGTCTGAACTACCTCAACAAAATATTCATCGTGAATATCAAGTTGTGTCCCCTGAAACGCAAGAAATTTACATATTTAATCGCTACGGGCAACACAAACATACAATCAACATAATGACAAGCCAGTTCATGTATAATTTTACATACAATGTTAATTCTTTTTACGGAAAATTAACAAAAGTTGCGGACACATCTGGAAATAGTATTGAAGTGAAGCGAAGATATGACACTCGCGTTGAGAAACTAGTGACACCTAGTGGTGATAAATGTGATTTATTATTGGATAACATGAGACGCTTGTATCGCTACACTGCTCCCGACAACACCACGGCAACCTTCACCTACATGGCCAGTACTGGATTACTCGAATCGAAGCATACGTCATACGGAAAAGTTTTCATGTACAAATATGATGATAAAGGACGTCTGCTTCAAATCAGCCAACCAACAGGGGAAATAACTCAGCTAACAACAGATGTCAACACTACAGGTTCCATTGTTCATGTCACTACTGATAGCAGTGATGTGGTTGCCATGGCTACATATGGAAGCGTGCAATCCGTGATGCATGGCAAGTGCTTGCAGTTCACCTTTTTTCATTCTGCCATCGAAAATTCTTTTTTTCAAAAATTAAAAACATTTTCGTTACAACTGTCGTGGGTAGTTGTTAAATTTTGCATTGATTTTGTGGGTCAGTCACTTTATGATTGGTCCTTTCAATAAGGTGAAGAAAGAGAAAACTAAAAAATTTACTTGTAAAATCTGATGAGAATTTTGAAAAAATTTTGAAATGAAAAAGAATTGGGTTTACAAAGGACAAAAGAATTTTCATGGCTTTTGCAGATACAAAGTTCTTACTAGCAAATACTTAGTAAAGATCTTTTCATTTTCTTCTGTCGAATATAGAATTTATGGTCTTTATATTTTTTTGAATTCCAAAATATTTTGAAGAACAATTTTGGCTAAGAAATATTTTTAGAATTTTCTATTAGAGGCTTCATTAACATTTTTACAATTGTCATCGTTGTCATAGTGACTTATAGTCGTAAAAATTTTAATTTTTTATTTCGTAGATAAGAACTTGTAATTTTTCCTCCCTGGGGCATGGCTTTAATCCAATTATAGATGCTTTTAGGGCAGCTCTTGACATATATTTAGAACTAGTAATACAAATTTTATCAAAGTTATTGGTTTATATATATCCTCCAAATTTGCATGCTTCAATATTTCTATATTTTCTTTTCTATTTTGCACCCTAAAATGGCAACCACTTATTTTAAATCTTTCTCTTAGCATGACTTCATAATCAAATTTTTCTGAACCTCATTAAAAATTGCTTAGGTTTGTTTTATTTGATTTGAAGCACAGAGCCAATTTTTGAAAATGAGTTTCTTGATTATGTTTAGAATCCACATTCTTTTTTGTTTTTATTTTTTAGATATAATTAATTTTTGTTTCTGACCCTTCCTATTAACAAATTTGTTTTATTTTGTCTTTCTTTTATCATTTTTTTAGTTTTCTTAACAATTTTATTAACTTTTTCTTGGCTAAAATTGGTTTTGATTCTGTTTTGTAGAGCTTTTGAAATTTATTTTTAAGGCAGATTGCTCATTGATTTTGAACTTTGTGTCACATTGTGTTACATATTTCATAATTTTGTATTTTCTTTGTAGGTTCAACACAAACAAAAGTGACGTATCTACCAGATGGAGCTGTCATAGTATTGTTCCCTAGCAACCTAACTGTTGCCATAGAAACTGGTGGACATCCGATAATGGAAAACGAACATAGAATGCATTTTAAACGAAAAGTGATTGTACCCGATGCGTACATGCATCGAATGGAATGGCGGTTCTATCTTCGTCGGAAAGGACGCTCACGGCATAGTAGAGTCATTGAAAAAATTGGACAACGAATGCGGGTAGGCGCCAACTTTGCCAGGCATGGGACAATGCATGTGTCGCATGGCGAAGAGTACAAGGAAAAGGCCCTCTTGGTATGTTGACTACTCTAGCTTTACCCAATCTAACATCTTGTGCCATGTCCATTTTATAAACACACTTTGTCTTCTGCTCTTATATTTGCTGCAAAAATTAATTTGAACACTTTAACTGCTGTCCAGAAATCTACTTTGTGAAATGGAAGTCCAAAGTTACTTATATAAGTTGTGTGTCTTTAAATGTTTTGTTTATCCCAAAGCTTTGGCTTCTAATTTTGAGTTAATCATAGCAAATGCTTCAACCTTGAAATGAAACTTCTGATTTTATTTTGCTTTAGATTTTGAAAGAATTTCAATTAAATTAGCTTTATACTTTTCACATTGCCCAGGCTATTTCAAGCTGCTAAGTTTTCAATTTGAAAATTGCAGAGGAAACTGGAAAGACAAAGTGTGTTTAAATCATTTCATCAGTATTAAAATCATGCTATATGAAGTTTTAGCATCGTTTACGAATAATTAATTAATTAATTGGCACTGATTTGCTGGACTGCACAAGACAACTAACATCGCAATAACCATTCATGCTTTTTAGCCATATTCCTGGAAGCATCAACCTGAATTCTCTGGAACTCTTTGGAAACATGATCAAATAGAATCCTTTTTATTCAAAAGGAATTTCAAATCAAGATAGAATTCTAGATATCTGAAATTTTGGCTTTAAATGAAAATAACATAATAAATTTGTAAGTTGATGCTTCCATGTGAATACCCCCCTCCGCCCCACCATATCTTTCAAATCATCCAATAGCAGCATGTTTACCCAATTTACCCAATGGCAGAGAATTCCTGGTATTATATCCTTGGACAAGTCCTGTATATTTAAAGGGATTGTAAAGAGGTTTTCTCATCTTTTAATGTGTATCTGGGACACTGATATCATCAATTTGCTCCATTTCAGTCTTCAATCAGACGTCTTGTGGTTTTTTCTATTCCACTAAAACTCAGCGATAATAACGTACTGTTAGTAGCAGTTTATGCAACAGTGACATCATAATTCACTTTATTTTACATCTTTACAATCCCACAGACGTCTGATTGAAAATAGAAATGTTGCATATTGATGAGTCTCCCCGATACACTTGAAATGTTTAGAAAATCTCTTTACAATCCCAGTGAATGTATACAGAATATGCAATTATTTTCCATTGGTAAAAGCCACCTATTAGTCAAAAGTGAGGTCTGCTGTTAGAAAGATAGTAATCTAAGAGTATTTAGAAGTAGAACTGGGAAAAGATGATATACGGTGTACGTTAGTGGATTAACGATACAGTTGAAAAATGGAAGAAGCAGGAACATGGGGTGTGGACATGGTGCAGACACGATTCGTTTCTTCCATTTTCAATGTATTGATAACTGTGCACCTTATCAGACATCGTACCTCGTCTTTTTCTACCTTAACTTGTGAGTCATGTTCAAGAGATCTGATTGGTCTTTAATATGACTGATATAAAAATGAACCAATCAGAGTCCTAGTCCGATACTTAACAATTTTTTCAGAGTTCAAATGTTTCTAACAGCAAGCCTGTTGGGTTACCTCAAATTTTTTCAGTATTTTAAAAGGGATATTATTGTATTTTGTTTGTTTATACCGACTTTGAAGTTATTTCATCTTACCTAACATATTTAACAATTTTAGCATGTTTGGAATTTTATGCGCTAAATTGGAAATTAAATTTTTTTTCTCAATTCATTTAGGCATGAGTATTTTGTTATGTATTTTATGCTTGAAAATAACCAATTAATTTCATCAACTTCATGATTTCAATGGCTTTTATTTATAATATATGTTTAAAAAAAAAAACATTGTGAAAAAGGGCAAAGATGTCGTTTCATTTAGAAATAAGGCCAGACCAATTTATTATTTTGTACGAAAGTCCTTCTATCAACAACAGAAAGTCACCTTAGTAGATTGAAAAAATAATGAATGATTTTTGATGAACTAAATCAATACTGAAAAGGAAACCCAGGTCAATGCTGGCTTGCGTAAGAAAAAAAAACACCCTTGATAATGCCTTCAAGAAAATATCTGTAAATCAAGAAAATAAATTGGTCCGGCCTAACATTTTGAACAATGAAAATGACTTTGTCCTTTTGTAAATTTGGCTTTAAGGATTTGATCATGAGCTGCACTTTGAAGAATGTAATGGAGGATTATAGTTAGGGAATCACCTAAATAATATGTAGAATTAATAGAAAACAAGATGTGGTTTAATTTTCAGATTAACGGTGAGAATTTACTAACTGTGGAGTATGATCGAAATCAACACATGGAAACAGTGATGGACAAAGATCTTCGTGAATTATTGACGATAATTTACAACAAGGCTGGTCTACCAACTCATTTCTTCCCAGCAACAGGTCACAACTCTATGAACATCACCTACTCGTCGCTAGGTGACATCACAAAATGGCAGTATGGTGAGATGGTCGAGGAGAGGAAATATAATGCCAAGGGGTTGCTGATTGAAAGAATGTCCACCAATGGTGCTCAGTTTAGATATTTTTACAGATTTGGCGCCAAAAAGGTTTGTTTTGTGGTTGAAATGGTTTCTAAAAGATGAAAGACACTGAAATTTTATTTTGGTCATCTTTTTATAACAATGCTTGTAATAGAATTGGAGTGGCCTTATTGATCAATTTTGAAGATAGTGGTGATCTAGACAGAGGACAGAGGGCAGCTGTCTCCCTTTAAGTGTGTGCAGCACAGTGGATAGAACATACACATTTTGACCATTGACCCCCGGCTGCTAAAATTCACTGCTTTCATCACAAGTTAAAGTCTAATTGCCATTATTTAATTTGAATTTTATTTTGTTTCAGCCTACAGATGTGATCTTCCCGAGTGGAAAACAATATTTGTTTCATCACGACACGGAGGGTAACTTACAACAAGTCACAACACCAGTCCTCGGCAAACATCAGTTCCACACTGTCCTGTCTGTGGGAATACAGAGACTGAAATATACCCCACCTGGTAAAACATTGCCGTTTATTCTAGATTACGACACCAATGGTAAACTGATACGTGTCATACATCCTGGTGATACCAAGAGAGTCTATTATCGCTATAACAACCATTTTCAAGTATCAACCATACTTTTTGATGAATCTGAAATTTCCTACACCTATAACTCAGAGGTGAGTGGTCTTTGATCAATTTTATTTCAGTTTTTTTTTAATTGCAAGAACCATGGAATTATTTTCCATCCTAGTAAACTTCTTCAGTGGTTTTTTGTGAAAATGATTTCATGTGGGTTTAGATAATCCTAGAATTGCAGGAACCACAGAAACCTTCTTTGAATATTTGACACATGAGCCAAGATGTATGAGTCAAAAAATTTAAAGTTTAGTCCCAGGCATTGTTCATAATGTCAGGTTTGAAATTTCAGCCATTTTTTTGACAACTTGACAAATTTGCAATCTAATCCATTCCATGTTTTTATTCCCAGGCTCAAAGAAAGGCTAGCAGTGAACTAAAAGCTAGAGGTTATAGTTGTAAATTAAGATACGAATACATCAGCTCATTGGTTAAAAGTTATACTGTACAATTTCCATTGGATCTTACCCTGCTGGATATGAACTTTACACTCATTTATGATAACAACTTCCGATTGGCTGAAAGCTTGGCGACATTGTCCAATAATCTTTCAATGAGAAACGTGATCAGTTATAGTAGCGTCACTGGGAAATTGAACCGAATCAAAGATATCAACATCGAGTGGACGTCCAACGAACGAGAAATCTTCTCCAATATCGATTTCCGTATAACTCGTGAGTACGACAATTACGGACGACTTCAAGATGTGAAAATGGAATTTGATGGTAACGTTCGATTCATGCTTCAAATCAACTATGATCATATGAATCTAATTCACCAATGGCGACGAAGAATTGGGCAGACAGATTCAATGGCAGTGGAATATATTTACGATATTGATAGCAACATGGTAGATGTTCTCGTTGAAGGAAAATCGGCATGGAAATATGGCTACGACGCTAACGGTAACATCAATAAAATCACTGATGACGGAATAACCAAGGAGATGGAATTTGATGTGGGAGATAGAATCACCCGATTTGGAGAAATGAGGTACAAATTTGATGAAGATGGCTTCGTGGCTCAACGTGGTTTCGAACATTTGTCCTTCAACTCTAGAGGTCAACTGGTGACCGTGTCAAATACTCGAAAATATAAATACTCGTATTTCTACGACCCTCAAGGTCGTTTGTCCGTGCAGAGAGACAAATACGGCAAAGTGATGCAATATTTTTATGCTAATGTTCTAAGTCCTCATCAAATTACGCATACCTACAACCACACGTCAGGGGAGATGACTCAATATCTGTACGATTCACATGGAACGTTGATCGCTCTGGAACGAAAGGGCAACACTTATTATATCGCAACAGATCCTAACGGCTCACCATTGGTTATATTTGACAGTCGAGGCTATGTGGTCAAACAGTGTAGCTATGATCCTTTAGGTCTGCAGGAGTCAGACACAAACCCTAATTTCGAATTGAGTTTTGGATTCCAAGCGATGTTATATAACTCAATGACGAATATAGCATTTAAAAATCAGCGACCTTACGATACTCTCAGTGGCCATTGGTTAAGTCCAGATTACGAGAACATGTTTAAAAAACTGGACACCGTTATCTCGGAACCTGAAATTCTCAACTCCTACCAATATCGCCATCTTCTTAATAATCATCTAAAGGATCATAAATACCCTCGATTAGGTAAGTTGAAATTTGTTCCTTGTTTTCATTTCATTGTTGTTTTTTTTTGGTTTGATTTGTATCTTTACCGTCATAACAGTTCCAGTGTAAATAGTAGAATAGCCATGCCAGGTTCATAACCATAAAAGCAAAGAAGGCAAATGCAGAATTTGTCAGCAAAGAAATCAATATGCAAAGCAGTAGAAAGCCGACAACAACGGTAGATTACACGTGTATGAATATATGATTATTTTTTTCTATTTCAGATCTCCATGACTGGCTCAACGTTCTAGGATTTGATATTTATAGCTTGGCCCCGGAAGTAGATTACACTGGTGACCTTCACCCTGACAACTGTCAACGAGATCATCAACTACTTCCTAGTTCATCTGCTTTCGAGTGCACGTTTAAACGCGATATGAAAAATTTACTGACCCTAACCACTGTACCTCGTTCAAAAATTACTCCCCTGCAATCTCTGGCAAAACAGAGGCCCTCGCCCTTCACTTCCATATTTGGAGAGGGCGTTACCGTTTCCATCATAAATCATAAAGTTCATATCAACAAAGCAGACATAGCGACCGAATTGTCGCGAAAAATAGCGTCAGTGTTGTTAAACGGTTCTGAAGCCGTTGATTTGCCTTTCACAATACGTGGTAAGGATGTGCACTATTTTGTGAAAAATTCCTACGCAGATTCAGACAATGATTTGCGAACTTTGGGAATTCACAGTAATTTGGTCACCTTCGAAAATGGGATAAACATTTCAGTGCAGCGAGGAGGTCATGGCCACAGGTCAGCGTTCTCGCACGAAGTGGCAGATGTGCGTATCCATGGAAACAATAGTGTAATTAATATACGCTACGGAACTACGATAGACAAAGAGCGTAGTCGTATTCTGTTTCACGCCAAAGAACGTGCTATCAAGCAATTGTGGAACAGTGAAAAATATTTATTAAAAAATAGTCTGCCCAGTCATTATAAGTGGACAGAGCAAGAAATTCGCGAACTTGTGTCTGGGGGTCAAGTTCAAGGTTACGAGGGACAATATATTCGTGACCCACAAAATTATCCGGAGTTAGCGGACGACAGTAATAATATTCGCTTAATACAAGATGGAAGGTGATAGGGTCATGACCTTTTAAAAACAGACTTGTAAATAAAGATCAACCCGAAAAAGCGATTTGGATTTTCAAATCGGAAAATTGAAATCTGATGCAAAAAGGAAAATAATTATCTATTCTGTGATGAATGTGGAAAAGGAAATGTGTGTTTGAAATTTCTCTTATATTAAAGAGTGCTTCCCATTTATATTAAAAATATCTGTGAAACAAAAGGGTGCTGTGCATTGCTGAATATTTCGTTCAAAACTAACGATTTTGTTAGAAAACAACTAGGTTGAATATGTGTAAAATCTAATGTGCAAATTTGCCCAAGTGCAAAAAACAGAAAAGCACAGACTTGTGCAAATAAAAATGACTGTGCAATCAGAAATTTTGCATAATTTGGAGTTAAATTATGAATCAAAGTGCAAAACTATTACAAATAGCTGAGTGATGGTGCTATGAAAGTTAATTTTGTGGTGATCCAAAAAGAATTTGCTTTTTCTAGTCTTGGAAATTGGCGGTAGTGACATCATATCTGGTGCATTTGAAGCCATGGTGGATATTATTGTGATTATTAAGATATGTTTTGAAACATATTGTGTCAATTTTGACAAAAACTTAACGCTTATAAGAAATAAAGTCATCTGATTGGTTAATTCAAAATTTATTTTAGTGATTAACCAATCAAAAGACTGTAATGATTTGAAGTTTTTGCGGAATTCTTCCTTGAAAATCTTGTTCGTGCATGCAGTGTAGGACCAAAAAACAAGACGATAAAAGTGAAACTTTGTGAAATGTCTTATTGTGATTATAGCTCTGATTATCTGATGGGTTTAATCTTCTTCCCTGAAAAAGGATCCTTAAATTTGTACAAATTCTCATTTTGTCATCTATCCTCTTGAAACTTGAATCTGCGACCGTATAGAGACTTTCTCATTCTATACTGGTATCATAACATCCATTTTATGTATATTTTCATTCTGATCAGTATTTTTATCTGTTGACCTCCATTTTAGTTTATTTTTCTGTTTTTCTTCTTAAACTTCTTAATAACCACATATCAAATTCAACATTTTTAAAATATGCAATTTTAAGGTTGATGGCTGCTCATTGATTTTTTAATTTATGCAAATTAATTTTAGAACTACAACAATTTTTGGGGCGTCTTTGAGGACTTTGAAATTTTAGGAAACTACCATTACAACTCTAAACAGTCAGACTTTCAGGAGAACATCAACATTTAATTTTTACAAAAAAGACCAGTTTCAGTAATACCAAGTTTGACCATTTCAAGGCCTCAAGATGTTTTTGAAATGTTGTATGAGAAATGGTTAAAGTTTCATCATCTGATAAAACCTGGTTTCCCACAAATCCATCAACCTTCGGTCTAAATATTACAATGTTTCAACAAAATACAATCCAAAATTAGTCAATCCTCAATTTTATCGTTTAAGAACAATGTCCCAGGCTCATTAATATTAGTAAACTAATTAGTGCAATTAATCCTTTTAATATCTTATACAGAATAAAATCAAAATTAAAAATATAACCACAAACCATATTTAACCAAAGAAAAAACCTGACTCTCGCATCTTAAACCTGATTAAAATTTGTTGTTGGTGTGAGATTTAAAATGGAAAAGTTCCAGACCTACAACAAATATTGCTTGTTTAATGTTTTGAAGGACAGGTGTGGAGAATTTAAGAATTAAAATAAAAAAACCTGTATTTATTTTGTCTAAACAGAGCTCAGTTGGTTAATTTTAATGATATTTTTACCAAAGATGTTATCTGAATTCACTTCTGCAACAGTTAGCATTTTGCATGAAAATCTAAACATGATAGGAACCATTATTGCCAATAATTTTTTGATACAGTGATTATAAAATTGGAAAAGGACACGACAATGCTATGATTAATTCAGAAAAACAGAAACATGAAATCTTTTATAATTCAGACATTGGAATAAATTTGATACTTTTTCGATTCTTGATTATTTTCCAACTCAAAATATTTCAAAAATTTGGTCATTAATTTGTAAAGTTGACCGTGTGAGCTCGCAGTCTTTTCTCAATGTATTATCTGAAAGGTTACTCAGTATTTCTTTTTGAGTTTTATTTAATTTTTCTTAATAAATTATAATAAGTGTTCACAAGATGAATGAATGAATGATTGAGTGAGTGATGGATGATACAGTAAAGGAATGAATGAATGAAATATTCAATTGATGAATGAAAGAATAAGTAAATGAATGAAATTGTGTGCGATTTGATATACGCTGAAAAAAACTGCTTAAAAGGACTTAAACCACCATAATTTTTACTTATTTCATTTTTAAAGTCATCGCCATAATTTTCAACATATTGTTTTTTGTATGTTGAGTGGAAATTGTTATTGTTTTTTGCCAATATTCAAATTTTTTTTGAAAAATAATATTTGTGTTTTGAGTTAGTATAGTGCTAGAATGTATTTGTTTGAAAACCAGGGGTAACCTGACATAAATATCATATCTCTTGATATATTCCAATGTTTTGATTGGTGGATACTCTATAAATTTATGACCAATGAAAAGTAAATTATTTAAATCTTGATTTTCAAAAGTTGTTATTTAACTCATCTGATTGGTTAGTTTTCAGAGTTCTCTCTTGAGTATCAATTTGATTTCAATGAATCTGATTGGTCCATCCCTCTTAAGCTCACCTATTAACCAATGAAAGATCATTTCTATGATGATATACTAGAGGTATGATATTTGTGTCAGCATGTCCTATGTATATAATGTATTATTATCTAAAATCTTAATCTCAAACTTTATAACTCTAAGGTCTCTTTAAATATGAAGGGTATATGTGTTCAAGTTTCCATGGAAACACTTTGTTAGAAATTATTAGAAATATAAAATTTATGCAAAGATAAGATGTATTTGTGCAGGGCACTATTCTGTAAGAAATTCCAAAAATTCTAATAATAAAATTTCTGTGACAGTAGGAAAGTGTATGAAATTTGACACAAAAACGAAGACATGGGAAAATAGTTTGTCATTTCAGTGTTCGAATGCTCTTGTCCCGAAATATAATTTATCAACCGGACAATAATTTATTAAAGTCAGACATGTCTGGTATATATATATATGTAATGTTTCAACATGTAAATTGTTTTCAACTTTTTCTCCTGTAAAAATGCAATATCCAAGATGAATGCAATTTTTTTGTATTTGTAAAATTATGGACAATAAATCCGTATGAAACCTAAAAATGTGTTTTATTACATAGCCAATAATATTTCACAACAAAAAAACAACCCCAAGTACTGACGATCCAAAACCCGAAACGAAACCCAAAATCCAAAACATATTGTCAGCTAATAAAACTTTTCACATGAGGAAGTATATCAATCGTAAGTGAGTATTTCACAATGAAAAGTGGTGTCAGGTGTCTACAAGAGTAAGCATACCCTGCTTGGTGCCTATTTTAAATGTACAACCTGCGTGACTATAACGTTTGCCTGCATCACTGGCCTGGAGAATCTGTTTAAAAACCTGTGGGTTTCATCTTGAATAAAGACCTACTGGGATCGAACCTTAGACCTTCAGATTGAGAGCAAACATTATAATCTATATATTTTTTATTACAAAATCAACATTCTTTCATCATTAAAATGCATAATTCATACTTTAACTTTACAGTTTTAATCATTTTTGACTTCAGTCGGCATTTCTGTACCATTCAATGCAGCTAAGATATTTTTGGCTGTTAGTTCGGACATGGCGGATCGTGTTTTATCAGTGGCACTAGCAATGTGGGGCAAGACTACACAGTTATCAAGAGTCAGTAGGGGACTATCTGTGGGTAGAGGTTCAGGGGTGGTAACATCAAGACCTGCGGCACCAATCTCTCCCGATTTTAACGCCTCGTATAAATCTTCCTGATTAACCACGCCTCCACGACTGGTGTTTATAAAAATGGCAGATTTTTTCATTTTCTTGAATAAATCTTTGTTGAACATTCCTTTTGTTTCTTCTGTCAGAGCGCACGTTGCAAGAACAAAATCAGAGTTGGCTAAAAGTTCGTCCTTAGACACATAAGTTGCCCCAACTTCTGAAGCATGTGGATTTTCAAATTTGTCACTATACAGAATCTTTGCAACCCCAAATGGTCGAAGACATTGTGCTATCGTAAAGCCAATTCGACCCAAGCCTACAATTCCAACAGTGGCGCCATCTAGACCGGGTCCACACAGCCACATTGGTTTCCAAGTTCCCCATGTTCCATTTGCAACAGCCGCCATGGCTGAAATATAACAATTAAATAATCGATATTTTTAGGACAATTGGAATATCAGTCTCAAAATAGTACTGATAGTCTTAGAATGTCTATGGGTTGATATAAAAATATACTATTTTGAAAGTTTACATTGAAAAGAAACACATTTCTCTCCTAGAAATTTCAACCCACAAAAGTCACAAATTTTGGCTGAAAACTGTCCTCTGTAAAAACAAATTTTGAAGACATTATGTGTGCTTATGTTTATATTTTTATCAACAGAAAGTCATTCTAAGACTATCAGTACTATATTGAGGCTGATATTTAAATTCTCATACTCAGACAATAATCATTTATCTAAAAACAGAATCATCTGACACTGACAAATTTTCACATCAATTCAGTATATCTAACATTCACCATCTTTAAAATTAAGGGTATTATTAGCTCAATGATGCTTGTGCTAAAATGGGTATGATTTAAAATAGGATGTGAAAGCATAAATTAGATCCTCAAAAGCACTAGATGTGGCATCATTATCTTTACGATTGACGATTTAAACTCAGTGCACCTAATTGCCTAGCAATAACAATACCAGACTCGGCTATGCTACTACAAGAAAACAGTGGCGGCGCCAACCTCCCGAAAAGGGTAGTACAAATTGGGGGAACACTGACTCTATGGTGGTCAACTGTCAAGACTAAATTCAAAATGCAGTGGAGGCGTCTTGGAGATTACCCCTCTTGCCACTGCAAGGAAAAATGACAATCATCCAATTCATCGTTAGGAAATATTGTCGGTGAATTTGTTCACATTTTCAAAGTAAATAATCATGTGAAGAGAAACAGACACATGGGTTGAAATAAAGAAAATTAACTCCAAACATTGTTCAATAACACAACAAATAAAAAATTCCATTTACCTTCCTTGAGCCTGCGACTAGTAGTAAGTAACAAGGCCATTGTTAATTCCGCTACAGCGTTGGTCAAAACTCCAGGCGTGAACCCAACTTTAACATTATATTTCTTACACGCTGTTAAATCTATATGATCATACCCTACAGACATTGTACCAACTACTTTCAACTGGGGACCTAGAATTAGACAAGAAATGGAGTTTTACACCCTACTATTTGATACACTAGGGGTACTCTATAAGTCAATACATCACCGCATTTAACAGTAAATCTAAAAAAAATGGAGAAGAAATGAGTTTTACATACTATTTGATATTTGGGTTACTTTTAAGGTTAATGCATCAGCACTGTAACTGAAATAAAAGATGAAATGGAGTTTTAGGCCCTACAATAGGCCATATCTAATCCAATGCTGGAGTATGCTTTCAACTTAACAAAAAGTGGTTAATTAGAATTTATCCTCAAATCTTGAAGTAAAAATTATATTTTTAAGGGACTGCAAACGCTATATGGTACCACACAAAAGAATGAGATCTACTTATTTAACTCTAGAGGGTTCACATTGAACCTATGAATCTACTTTTACCAATTGACGGAAATGCAAGTATAGACCATATAGTAGGCTAATAGGTAAAATGAAACCCAAACTCACCAAGGACCAAGGTCTACCTTTACCCCTAGTTCAGATTGCACCAAATAAGGGTCTACTTTTAACCTTAGATACTAATGGGCCTTATAGGCTATAGGTTTTTATGTACTCATAACGGACCATATCGGGACAATCTTTACCTCGATACACACTGAGCAATCATTGATTCTGGCATAAATTCATGTTATCTATTTGGGTTAGTAGGCCTAGTCTACTGTCATCTTGCAGTTTAAGGCCTGTATACTTAGTTAGCCTCTATATATTATTATACATGATAACAGTTCAGTTATAATTTCATTACAAAATATATTAAGACCATGCATTATCAGTGTGGCTTCTATTCTACCACTATCAAGGCACGAGAAGCTAGGATTAGATTACTCTCCCCACAGACCACTTATAAATAGTTTGAGCAAAATATGCATAAGCTTTCCTACGTCTGAAAACTGAAGGCTTGGAAAAAGGGTCAAAATTAATACCTATAGCACTAAACACCTAAGTAATAATGAAATATTATGACTCGAATTTCATGTTCTATTAGGCTATTCTTCACATGGAGATTACTACAATGAGTTTAACTTTAAGTGTTGAGAACTCATAATTAGGCCTAGGGCCTACCTGCAGCTTTCAAAACTTCTTCATCTATTTTTTCAGTCAGGAGACAAAACAAGGCATCTTTTCCCTGAACTCTTTTCAATAATTCCTCCCTTGGCACTGGATCATCTTTATTCCATTGCTCCACCTGACAGGAGGGTGCCAACAGGGCTGGTCCTGATTCTGGAACTCTGCGAGTGATGTAAACCGACGGCTTGCTGGAGCTCATCTTCCTTGTGGATCCCAAATTTTTGCTAAAAAATCCCAGACAAAGTCTACTTTGTTCTGTTTTTATCACTCCTCGTATTAAACACTGCAAACCTTGAAAATTCATTATCTAATGTCAACAAAATGGAGAGATAACTGATAAGCCATGATAACTACATGGTCGAAGGGAGAAAACTCTATTTAACAAACTAGTTAACTACAGACTACAGTTAATTTCTCCAGTACTAAATTTCCTGAAATCCAATTCTGAAATTTAGACTCGATTAAAAAATTCATTGACAAATTTTAGGCTTTAGGTTTTGCGTAATTCTTGACTTGGATTATCTGGATGGAAACAAACTACAGTTGACGAAAGCTTCGTGTCAACAGCAAAGGAGTCATCAAAATTTTCAAATTCTGAACACTTGAATTGACGTTTTGTTAGTGGGCCATTGTAGTGGTATGTATTTTGACATATTTTGGTCTTTCACTTCACTTGTTACACTCTGGGGGATTCAGAAACTGTGTAGTGTTTTCGATATAAACTGTCGTAAAGACTACAGACTATCATTAATTTCTCCATTGGTGTTGAACATAGTGGAAAATAATTTGATATTTGATACAACTTTCGAATTGTGCAGGGTATGAATGAAATAAATCTTAAACTGGCATACCAAATTACATAGCCATGTATACCAAATTACATAGCCATGTATACCAAATTACATAGCCATGTATACCAATTTACATAGCCATTAATACCAAATTACATAGCCATCTATACCAAATTACATAGCCATGAAGACCAAATTACATAGCCATGTATACCAAGTTACATAGCCATGTATACCAAGTTACATAGCCATGTATACCAAATTACATAGCCACGTATACCAAATTACATAGCCACGTATACCAAATTACATAGCCATGTATACCAAGTTACATAGCCTTGTATACCAAATTACATAGCCACGTATACCAAATTACATAGCCATGTATACCAAGTTACATAGCCATGTATACCAAATTACATAGCCATGTATACCAAGTTACATAGCCATCTATACCAAATTACATAGCCATGTATACCAAATTACATAGCCATGTATACCAAATTACATAGCCACGTATACCAAATTACGTAGCCATGTATACCAAATTAATTAGCCATGTATACCAAATTACGTAGCCATGTATACCAAATTACATAGCCATGTATACCAAATTACATAGCCATGTATACCAATTTACATAGCCATGTATAACAAATTACATAGCCATACGTAGCCATGAATACCAAATTACGTAGCCACGTATACCAATTTACATAGCCATGAATACCAAATTACATAGCCTGTATACCAAATTACATAGCCATACATAGCCATGAATACCAAATTACATAGCCACGTATACCAATTTACATAGCCATGAATACCAAATTACATAGCCTGTATACCAAATTACATAGCCTGTATACCAGATTACATAGCCTGTATACCAAATTACATAGCTATGTATACTATTTGCAGAATGTGATAAGCTCCAGTGGTGGCACCAGCCTCCCAGGACTGGGGGTACAAGTAGGGGGCAGGGCAGACTGACTCAATGACAATGGGGGGACAGTGTTGAGGCCTAATTCAAACTGCAGCAACTTTGTCGAGGTGTCATAGTCACAAACCTCGTTTTTCTGACCCTACTTTGATAAACCCAGTACAGTAATATTTCAAAACAAAATAAAACACCTGAAGGTCAGGAAATTATCTTCTTACTGAATACATGATTCAAAGTAATTGAATATTTATATAAGTTATTTGGACACAAAAACAACCTCTGTATCAAAGAATAAAATATTTTTTTTATCTTTTCATTGAATTTATCTTGGGAGGGATAAGAGTCACATTTAATTTTCTATAGATCGTAAATAATTATTGAAAGATAAGATTTAATTACAAAAACTAAAACAAAGTGAATATAAATGTTGTCAATTGTTAAAAAATCAATAGAAGAATTAAGCTTAGCCGCGATATGCTAAAAATAGAACACATGCATGACTTGAGTAGGACAATTGGTTGGACAAATCACTCTTACAATTGTTAAAGTTGTGCATCACGTGATATGCATGATCTATGATCTATGACATCATGGCCGATCTCTTATATGAGAAAAACATGTTGGGTTTAAAAACTGAGACTTGTCTGGAAGTAAGAAATGAGACTGGCCAGGCATTGGTCAGTGTGTAGATTGAAATACAATGAATACAGAAGATATTCATAACAGATCAATTACAAGCACCTGTTGCCAGAATACCTGCTAGCTAGCAAGTTTTTTAACTTGTGAAAATATGTCAATAAGCCTATATATAAATGGAGATATTAAAACGATTAAAACAGAACCTAAAAAAAACATGTTGCTCGGAGTTTCACGCTATGCAATCTTCAGACAACTAACCTTCTTCTACTGAAGTTGGATAAGTCGTTTGTTATGTATATTGAAGGTCTCCTTTTTAAATAGACCATAATGAATATTTCAACATTAAACTATAGAATATTGATCTATTTGGTTACCATGGTGTTAGTATATACATCAGATGTTGAATAATTAGATTTATTGCTTAATATTCAATTGTAGTAAAAGATAAACTTCTCTATAGGACATTTTCACCTCAGGTTTTTTTATTGGGTATGTTAGTCTTTTCTATAGCATCATATTTCATCGTAGTTACTTGATTCTTAATTGATCCGTCAGTTTTTGGTGGCAACAAAGTCACCCAACTTGTGATGCAGGATTTTAATAAAGCATTTGATGTAGTGTGGAGTGATGGCTAGAGACTTTTATTCCTAAGTCTCCAGTTTAAGTGATAGATGGACATTAATGATTTTATTATAATATTGGTCTGTGGTGTATTTGACATATGAACATTAGTCATTTTGATAAAGCATTTGATGTAGTGTGGAGTGATGGCTAGACATATATTCTACTGTTTGATTTCAGTTCATTAGTTCAATAAGGTACAGAAAAGTAGGATATAAAACTAATTTCATTTCATTGGCCCAAACAGTAAGATAAAAAAAACATTTTATTTTATTAGCACAAAAGATACAAAAAGTAGAACTTTCCCATTCATTTTTTTTAGTTTTTACAATTTATGCTACAGTTGACTTAAAACTGATCAATGTATCCAGTGAAGAAATTAGTACTGTGTCAATTGAAAGCTTTCGTATTGTATATATCCTAATGATATAAATCATTATTCTTTGAGATATCTGTATCAAAACACTGTTCTCACTGACGTTGGTGAAGTGAACCTAATTCTGACCCATGAAGAATAAAGAGTTTCTTATTATAAAAACTATCCATGATATGCCACAGTGCATGTTTTGAAATTTAGCCTTTTAAACCTTCTTTTAACCATTTTCAGTAGTGTCCATTTAACTTTCTGAATACATACCAAAATTCCTCTGTCCAGTTGAGCCATGGAAACTTAATGAAGCAAACATAGTTTTTATAAGCTCACTTCAAATGTGACATCTATGAATTTGGCATTCACTTTTGTCAGTCTGTGCACATTGGCTTTAAAGCATTCTTAGACCTTTGTTACCCACCTTATGGTATCTTTGTACCTCTCTGCAACGCCTTTGGCTCCATGAGTTAGACCGTCTTCATTAGCCCACATGGTGCAGAAAAGTAGGACGTAAAACTCCATTCACTTCATTTCATTTCCGTGAGTTAGACGGGTTCAATCCCCGCATAGGTTGAGATTATACCTTCGGATGACATGGAAAAAGCGTCTAGTTGCTGAGATGGGACAATGAACCCGAGGCCTTGCGTGCTACGGGCTATGCATATTACAGATTGCTTGACAGTTGGAAATCAAAAAAAGGGCAGACTAATGCCTAATGTCCCTCATTGCACACTGCATGGCATTGTCTTCATTAGCCCACATGGTGCAGAAAAGTAGGACCACTACCTTCATTAATTTCTTGTGGTATGACATTTTGTGAACCGGCTGTGTTGGTGTATGTTATCATGTCTCACAAGCTATGGTTTTATTGTATTGTAGTGTGATTAAAACAGATCAGTGATCAAAGAATGGTTTAATGTCATTAATATTTGACACCAAGTCATTCAGTGTGTTCAACGTGGAAGTCAAGGTGAAACATCTTCAAGATTCAAGATGGAGAGAAGCCAATCTTCGGGTATATCAACGTTTATGAATAATCTTTTAAAGGATTATGATAAGATTAGAGGTGGGTTATTTACAATAATCTTGGTAAAGAGAGCTCAATTTCAGCTTTCTGTATGGTCATCTAAATACATGTACGGTATTTACTTTACCAGCGGATACAGCTCAATTTGAGCTATCTGTACAGTAGTCTAAATATCTACTTTACTAGCTAATAGAGCTCAATTTCAGCTATCTGTACAGTAGTCTAAATATCTACTTCACAAGCTGATAGAGCTCAATTTCAGCTATCTGTATGGTCATCTAAATATTTACTTTACCAACTGATAGAGCTTGATTTCAGCTATCTGTATATTAGTCATCTAAATATTTACTTTACCAACTGATAGAGCTCGATTTCAGCTATCTGTATATTAGTCATCTAAATATTTACTTTACAAGCTAAGCTTTGTTTTATTTTTTTAAAGGTAAGAGTAAAAATAGTTTGAATGACCCATTCTGGGATGTGGTTGTCATAACAACAGCGGATGAGAATCAGAAGGAGGCTTATGAGATCCAACTAGAGAATAAATTAGCGCGGAATGAGTTACCTCTTGATGTTGATTGGTTCATTGTTGCTGACCCGCCTGGAGCTAAAATAGGTAGGTTCCTAAGCAATATTTTTTTTCGAAATACACTTATCAAATTGCGTTCAATGCTAATGTTAAGCTCAGTCTGGAACCCTCGAACAATCTATTTGTAGTCAAGATTTCATAACATTTGACACAATTAAAGACAATACCAAAGAAGGTAACTATTTATTATTTTTTAATAAATTTGTAAAAATCTGTTTTTCAGGAAATGGAGGCTCAACATTGGTAGCCTTGGAAACCTTACATAAGAAGTTCGGGGATGATTTATTTAATTTGCGTGTAATGATCAATCACGCGGGAGGTTGGAGTCAGCGTATGCCCAGTGCAAGCATTCTGGGTAAAATTTTCACAACCGTCCCTCATGGAAACCCGATTTATCAAATGTTGGACGTCAACCTAGCTTGGTATTGGCCGTTTGTTAAAAAAATGACGGCAGGAGTTTTAGTAGCGTGTGCAGATGTCTTGCTGACTTTCAATTTAAATTGCCATGACGACTGGAAGGTCAGTGATTCTGGATTTACAGCCTTGGCACATCCGTCTCCAATGAAATTAGGAAATACTCACGGAGTTTATGTTGTCAAGGAACCAAACAAGATAAATTCTGCAAAACATATCGTTAAGGCAGAGTGTCTGGAAGTTCTGCAAAAACCGTCTGACGAGAGAATGTTGGAAGCTAGTGCCATTTTTGCAGAATCTGGGGTTCATACTTTCGCTGATGGGTGCACCGTTAACGGAAAATGTGTGTACACTGATAGTTCCTTCTTCTTTGGAGCAGACGTCGTGCGGAAACTGTTAGAACTGAAAAAAGAATTGGGCGTGTTGACCTGTGAGATTGATGCCTATGGAGATTTTTTACAGGCTTTAGGCCCTCGAGCTAATGACAAGTACATCACATATAATTCCAATATCAGTGAAATTACTCAGAATCTAACAGAATGTCGGCTCAAAGTTTTTGAAAAACTAAAAGGCACTGATATCCACATCTTGATAATGAATGCATCAAAATTCAATCATATCGGCACAACAAAAGAATATTTGGAACATTTTTGTGAGGACGAAATATTTCGTAAAGAAGTGGCAATCGAATCTGATGTGTTCAATGATTGGGTGGAAGTTTTGAGCTCCCCGCGCAAAAAGAAACGAAAGCTGAATAGTATCGTCCCAGAAAACAGTTGCGTGATGCATTCCTCTTTATTAAGTTCGTCCCTAATTCAGTCCAACTCAGTTTTAGAATACTGCCATTTTGAACTTCCAGTAGAAGTGGGCTCGCGAAGTATTTTGAGTAATTGCCAGTATTTGGAAACTTCTGACAAAATCCTGAAAATTCCATCCAATCTATTTATCCACACTGTACCAGTCTGTTCTGAAACATTGTCCAAGTTTGTAACTGTTTTTTTCCAAATTGACGACAATTTGAAAAAATCTGTACCGATGAAAGAAATTTTAAAATTACCATTCATGAAATCAGATTTAGAAACTTTGATAAAATCTTGGGGAATACAGTCAATCCAATCTGCAGTAAATAACGGGGTATGCTCCTTGTGGACAGCCCAAATTTTCCCTGCGGAGGACACCATGACTGAATCTTTTAAAAAATCCCTTGATATGATTCAATCCATCTCTGCATCATCTAATTCAAGCTTGTCTCTGAAAAATGCTCAGTTGTTTTCCTTTTCTGATTTGTTAAAAATGAAAGACGTAAAAGGTATGATTCAGTTTCGAGAATCACTCAGAGAAAAAATCTGCCCAAAACCTAATAATGGAATTTCATAATTGTCTGTCATATCATTTCTGACTTCACCGACTAATATTTACTTTAAGGGCCCGCACACCCTAACGATCACCAGTCGCGTATGGTTGTAATTACGAATAGTGATCAGTTTCGAATGCGTCTGTGAGTTACATTCGGAACTCATGACTACTTTCATTATTCACAACCAACACAACTGGTATATTCTATAGTGTGAAAAAAAAAAAAATTGATAACCGTGATTATTTACGGCTTTTGAGTATTTGTCTTTTACATTCTGTAAAGAAGGCTTTAAAATCAATATCCAGCATAAAGGTTCTAGACATATTTGATTGGTTTAGGCTTAAGCTATTCTTTCAAAAAGTTTCCAGGGCTAACTTAAATAAAATCTATTATTATATTAGATCTATGCAAATTAACTTGAAAAAGTTCCACGCTCTTAATATATGAATATTTAATTTATTACTGGTACACTGGTATGGGTATGTAGTTTATAATTCTATTTGATTATTTATTTTAATGATGGACTTCGTATTTCACTGAACACGATTGAGATTGTGCTATTTATCATAGGCTATGTAGGTATATTTCATCTTTTCATGCGTCTTATTCATGCATCATATCTTCCATGCATATTCATTGCCTTCAATTTAGACAATTTTATTTTGAAGTAGTTGGGAGTCATGTCTATCGAGAGCTCTAGATTGTTCATTTGACTGTATATACCAGTCATGTCTATCGAGAGCTCTAGCCTGTAGATTTGACTGTATATACCAGTCATGTCTATCGAGAGCTCTAGCCTGTAGATTTGACTGTATTTACCAGTCATGTCTATCGAGAGCTCTAGATTGTTGATTTGACTGTATATACCAGTCATGTCTACTAGAGCTCTAGATTGTTGATTTGACTGTATTTACCAGTCATGTCTGACTAGAGCTCTAGCCTATTGATTTGGCTGTATTTACCAGTCATGTCTGACTAGAGTTCTAGACTGTTGATTTGACTGTATTTACCAGTCATGTCTGACTAGAGCTCTAGATTGTTGATTTGACTGTATATACCAGTCATGTCTATCGAGAGCTCTAGATTGTTGATTTGACTGTATATACCAGTCATGTCTATCGAGAGCTCTAGATTGTTGATTTGACTGTATATACCGGTCATGTCTATCGAGAGCTCTGGCTTGTCGATTTGACTGTATGTACCAGTCATGTCTGACTAGAGCTCTAGACTGTTGATTTGACTGTATATACCAGTCATGTCTGACTAGAGCTCTAGATTGTTGATTTGACTGTATATACCAGTCATGTCTATCGAGAGCTCTGGCTTGTTGATTTGACTGTATATACCAGTCATGTCTGACTAGAGCTCTAGACTGTTGATTTGACTGTATATACCAGTCATGTCTGACTAGAGCTCTAGGTTTGTTCTCAAACAGAGGATCACCAATTTCTCCCTTGGGTACATAATTGAAATGTACCTTATGTACACTGTAAAGGGTATATTTCGATGGTGCCCTGATCAAGAACGATTCTGTTGGACTCAATTTGTCCGGTATTTGGGTTTGTCAATTGGGTTTATTATTTATTGTAGATAAAGAGGTAGGGGGAGTTGCGTACAGTATTACTTTATCTGTGAACACATTGCTTGAGAAACTTAAGCCCCCTCCCTTTACACCAAACAATGTGGTGAATGGGCTATAACTTATAGAGAAAAAAGAAGGGGGTGCTCTAATAATATTCAGTGATTTAATTTTGGGGCTGGTACTGATTTGTTACCCTGTAACTTTTTCATGGGGGTGGGTGGAATTTTTTTGTTGCTTTTGTATCGATAGCAACAAAGCCCCATTGTCCACTTCTCTGCCTTCGTAATTCTATATTGTCCAAAACTTTACTTAAACAAAATCCAGATAAGAAATACAGTTATCTGATTGGATAACAAATAACAAATCAGATGACTGGAACACTATAAATCATCTTAAGTTAAGTTTTCAAGAATAAGGCCCCAGGTGTGTCACTTTTGAAAAAAAATTTGACTGATGATATGGCCCACAGTTTGTTAAATTAAAATATGGATTGTAAACAATTCGATATCAAGCTATTTTGTGATATTTACTATAAAACCTATTTATTTAATCTTTAATCTTGATCTAGATGTAAACATATTATTTTTTTTTTTAAATTTTTAATTTATTATTTATTGAGATGAATTATTACTATATTCTCTGGTGTTGTTTTTTTTTATTGGTTCGCCAACATAATAAACCTCTTGGTTATTTCATTGTCCCTTAGTCTCTGGGGCAAGCTTGGAAATCTATAGAAGTTTACTCATTGAAAGAAAGCGCAAAGGTGACTATTTGAGATATATGCAAGACCAAATGAGTAAGGCAAATTTCTTCACTTGAAAGGCGACCCTTTTAAATATGCAAGATTTTACTCTCCTCTATATGATTTCGGAGAGGTTGACGGAATTGCCCTGTTTTACCCTACATTCGTCCGCAACCACCTCCCTCTTGACCTCAAGGATTCAAGCTAGATTGTGATGAATTAAAAACTTACGCGTATTTGCAAAGTATTACAGAACAAGTGAGAGAAAACTTCACGGCTGTATGGAGGTTCATTAAGATCATTGAAAAGTGAATGTAAAGTCCGAATCCAATTTGACGCGACACTAGTTAATTCGGCTTCATCGACTGCGAGAAGGAAGTGGCCCCGGAAAATGAAAAATTTTGAATGACTTTTGAGGTTCAAATATTTTAAAAGATGCTCGTTATAATCACAGGTAATGTACTAAAAGCCTGATCTGCTTTTAGACGTTTGAATATGTTACGGTGCTCATTATTTATCCTGGTGAGCACATAACGGTAAATCTAGGGTAACTTGGGTGTTTTCGTCACAGTGGGTTTTAATGGTTATATAACGGTCATCTGTTGAAAGGTGTTCACGAAATGTTTAGTTGGTTTACTAATAATATTCAGTGAGAACAGATAAACAAAGGTAATCTTAAAATGGGTGTTAGTGATTATATTAAAGTCATCTGTTGAAAGGTGCTCACTAAGATGTTTAGTTGGTTAGCTAATAAATGTTCAATGTGTATATAGACACATCTTTATGGAACAACAATCACAGATTAAGGTTGTATGCAATGTTTCGTTCTGTTTCTGCTGTCGTCCTCAGGCAAAGAATGATAATTATAGTGTAGGCTGCTTCTTCTATTAAAGTGCCTCTCCAGAGTGTACATAGGTAGGGCCTATCTTGGAGTTTGGAAATCTTAGGCCCTAGCCTAGGCCCAAATCACATTTATTTGAGACCGTGAAAATTAATATTAACATGCAGAGATAAGGCTTGAATGTTTATTATATAGTAGTACTAAATTCTGTCCCAAAACAAAGATTGTCCCAGTTTTGAATTGTCCTAGATTTGTTCCATATCAATGCTCAAATAGTGTGTGCTACTGTCTGAATTTTCTGTTGGGCCTTGTGCATTGAACAATGACCTTTTTCTATTTCAGTTTTAACCCTGGTGGTTGTATGTTTAGGAGCTCTGATATTGTTCATAGATTTTCAAACAAAGAAGGTAGACAACTCCATCCAATTTTCCCTTGCAGCGAAGATGTATTTTTTCAAAAAGCTTCTGACCTTATTTGGAAGATATCGTCAAAATAAACTGGTGCAAAATTCTAAAAATGTTATGAAGATTCAAGAGAAATTTTTATTTGATCAATTGGCACTGAATGCTGAGACAGAGTATGGGAAAAAATATAACTTTTCTAAAGTGAACAGTGTAGCGGATTTTAAATCGTACCATCCCTTGACGCGATATGATCATTATAAACCATACGTGGAGCGAATGATGAAAGGGGAGACAAAAATAATGACATCAAACCAGCCCGTGATATTTGCCGTGACGTCAGGAACGTCTGGCAACAGCAACATCATACCAATGGTGAAAAGACAGCAGGCGCTATTTTTCCTCGATGGCATCTCACTTCTGTTTCATCTTATGACAGAATTTTTTCCAAAGTCAAACAGATTCCAAAAACATCTGAAATTTTTCTATGATCCTATTAAATGGAGGGAGTCGGATTCTGGAATAAAAATTGGACCGAATTCATCCTCACCGTCCAACTCTAAAAGTGTTCTATTCATGTACACAACACCGATTCCAGCCTACAAGGTCTTGAACGAACCTGAGGCGTTGTATCTTCATCTATTATTCGGGTTGAAAGAACGCAATTTAGGAATGATCGAAGCAAACTTTTCATCCATTGTTTATAACTCATTTGTGTCGTTAGAAAATCATTGGGATGACCTTGTGAATGACATTGAAAAAGGTCAGATCAAGAAATCACTTAAAATTGACGAAGCTGTGTGACGAGAATTGACTGCGGTACTGAAACCAGATCCTCAACGTGCTGCGGAACTGAAGGAAGCGAAGAAAGACGGACCGACAGGATTAATGAAAAGAATCTGGCCAGAGTGTAACTTAGTAATAGGAGCAGATTCAGGATCGTTTGAACTTTACGCGACAAAATTACGAGAAACGTATTTAAAGGGGATTCCGTTGTATTCCCCAATCTACGCAGCTACAGAGGGTTTGTTAGGGATCAATATCTGGCCGAGGGAATACCCTAGTAAATATATGTTGATCCCCACGGTACAGTTCTACGAGTTTATTCCAATAGCAGATTGTGATCTGGATCAACCAGATACTCTTTTAATGAATCAGGTAAGAATTTTAAAACAAGAGAGAGAGTGATCATTATGGAATAAAGACTAGAGAACCGTCATTCTAAGCATAAAAATTGATTAGAATTATAATATTTTTTAATTGGCACAAACTAGACTAATGTATAAGTAACAAAATACAATATGGAAAACAACTTTCCTATAGGGGTTTATTTAAGGTCTTGAATACGGTTTATGTTAACACAGTATATGTAAATACGGTATATGTTAATAAGCTTCAGAATTACTAGAACTGTACAAAATCGCATAATTCCTTCAAATATACCTGAAACTAGAGCAGTCTGCAATATTAGAAATTTTGTCAAGACAATGGCATATATATGCAAGTCAACCCAATTGTCTATATTCAGGTAAAAGAAGGAGAGAGCTATGAGTTAGTCATCACCAATCCAACATGTTTATATCGGTATAGATTTGGTGATGTTGTTAGAGTTAAACAGTTCTATAACCAGTGTCCTGTTATCGAGTTCTTATATAGGTAGGCTATTTTCTCTTTTTATTTTCACTCCTTATTAAATCTGACAACTCTGAAAATAAACAGAAGAGGGCACCTAGTGAGCTTATGAGTATGAGAACCCTCTCAGACGCTTCATGCCTCTATGCACTTCCTCAACCTAGACAGTTGTCCCCACCCTTATTATGTCAATTTGCCCACCAATGTGCCCTCAGTCTGAGAGAGCTGGGACCATCACTGAATTTATTGCCCCATGTTTATCATCAGGAATTTTTTGTAATTTTTCCAGACAAGGTCAGTTTTTGAGTGTAAGAGGGGAGAAGACATCGGAAGCTGTATTTTATAAAGTATTGAATGAAACTCTAGAGAGTTCACAAGGTTTAGATCTGGTTGATTACTGCTGTTGTGAGAGTATCTTAGTCTCAGATCAACTGAACATACATACTTCAGGTAAAGTTTGATTGGGGATTCATTCCCAGACATTTCGGCTGCCCTGACGGACATTCTGAAAATTTAATATGTAAAATAGATATATTATATGCGCAATCCTATTATCTTGATGATGCCGACAGAATGGTTTTTGACCAGTGATCAGAAATGTAATTTGTAACCCAATTCTAATGCCGCTTCCACAATTTTTGAACACACCTTTACCTAAATAGACATTTGACCCCCTAGGTCAATCTACCCCTTATTTGTTCCCGCACTTCAAGGAGACTGGCTCAGAGAGAAAGTTTATGACATTTAAAATATTTTTATTGTAGTTGACACCTCTCCTAGTCCATGTTATCATGTTTTTATCGAGTTTAAATCTGATGAATCAATAAATGAACAACGATGTCAACAACTGGCTAAACAGGTAATAGAGAAATTGTCATTCTGTACAACTTTGATTCACAGTGGTTATTTGACCCATTTCATGGCTACCTCAATGGATTTTTTAGTATAATCTTTAAGCACAATTCTGTGACCTTGCTTCTTTGCTCGTAAGATATTTTCTATATACATGTACATAGGAAAGTGAAAAATTTTAAGGATATTGCAGCTTTAAAAAGCATGAGATGATTACTGTGAAAGAGATATGAATCGCAAGTATCTAGAATATTCCTGTTTCCATTTTTGCCCCTTGCTTCAGATGAATAAATTTTTTTTAAATTTTATTTTTCAGCTGGATGATAATTTATGTGCAATATCTTATGTGTATTCATCGTTTCGCAAGAAAGGCAGCATTGGACCAATCAGAATCCACTGTGTTCAAGATGGCAGTTTCCACAGGCTACGTAATTTCTCCCTAGAAACCACCTCAGCTTCGTTCAATCAGTATAAAGTGCCTCGTGTCTTGAAAAACAAAGATTCTGTAGAATTTATAACTAAACTTATTCAATAGACGGTTGTGTATCAGATTATGATCTCCAAAATCTTTAACTACTTAATGATGAAATTTCAACAGCAAATTAGGATCAGAGAAGTACCCAAATGTATCAGGAAGAGGTGCACATTATTTACTTTGATAAGAGTGTTTCAGATTCACTAGAGGGTAAAAATTGAATAGTAACACTGTATATAAATGAGAAATGTGTGTGAATAGATTGTTTCATGTCCAATGTGTCTTATACACCAACATAAAGTATTTTCTTTACAACTTAATTGTTCAGGATACATCTCATTTGGACAGGCAATGCCACTTGGTGTGCAATGAGGAAAGTTTTGCAAAGAAGGCAGCAAGAGCTGTCCAGTTCATGATCTATAAATATGCCAGCTTGCTCCACACGGAGGTTAATGTTTAATTCAGGAGTCTGGAAGCTTCTATGTATGTCAGTGGCTCCAGTTGCATTACAAGGTCATTATTTACAAAAAGTTGTATTATTGTTTGTTTATTGGTTTATAGAAACACAAGACATCACCTAACTCGGAATTTATTCCAGAAAAAAATGAAATGGAGTTTTAAGTCTTACTTTTCTGCACCATGTGGGCTAATGAAGATGGGCAATGCCATGCAGGGTGCAATGAGGGAATTTGGCCAGGACAGTGGCATTAGCCTGCTCTTTTTTCGATTTCCAACTGAGGAGGGATCTTTAACATACACAGCCTGTAGCACACGGGGTCTCGGTTTATTGTCCCATTCAAATGACTAGACGCTTTTTCCATCTCAGCCCCTCTTATCTGCATCACTGACGGGGAAACCGGGTTGAAAAATTTGAAGGTATTACCTCGACCTATGCTGGGTTTGAACCCTTGAACAGCAAGTCTAACTCACTGAGCCACTGGCGTCTCCCAGTTATATTCCAGAGATGATGTACTTTTTTCAATCAGATGTCTGTGGTTCCAGCAATTCCACTTAAACTAAGCATTTAATGACATGACTATCGCAAAAGTCTTTATATATATCAATTGCAGTTTTGCGATAGTGTCGTCAACAAACGTTTATTTTTAGTGGAATTGCAAGGATCACAAACATCTGATTGAAAATTGATGATATAAGTGTCCCTGATTCACATAAAGAATCTAGAAACCGCTTAAATATCAGAACAAAGATCAGTTTAAAAAAATTTACTTCAGCAAATAAATAAATAAAAAAACATAAATATACAAAATAATGGACGGAAAACAGAAGACAAAAGAAATACAATAACATAAGACTGGGAAAATGATAATAAAAAAGATTTGACTCCGGCCACGAGGGTAATTGTGACTTGCACAAGGTATTATTTTTAGACCAAAATTCTGAAGAAATATTGTCAATGTCATAAATGTAAGTGCGCATGCCCAAATATACAGATGTGTACCTGGAGTCAGTGGTGAACTGGCGTCCAACCTGTAAACATGCTTGACTAATAAATATATAATATAATGGCGTGGTTGAATGGTGTTATAATGGCCTAAATATGCCCTAAAATATAAACAAACAAAATTGTAATTTCAGAGTGACATCAATTGTTTAAAAGAGTGAGCATGCTCCGACATCCTAGCAACACGTTGCACAGTTACACCATTTCCATTTCCTGATAAACATTCCTGGCCAAAAAATACTTTACAATATTAACAACAACAGCTTATACTATTGAAGTCAATTAGTTTTGTATAATAATTTCAGATGAAATTTACCATCACAAATTTCTGAGAAAGGAAAGGTTTAATCGCATTTTATCGCTGTTGATCGTGTGTTTAGTGACGTCACATATGTATAATGTGCTCCGTAAATGCTGGAACCTTCATCAAGAAATTGTAATTGTTTAAATAGATATAACTATCTCAAAGGTGAAAAGCAAGTGTCAGTGATACATATAAAAAACTGTAAAATTCCTTTACAACAATCACTGGTTTTATGTGAAAAAGTGGGATCAAAACAGAGATAAGTCAGGGTAAACACAGAAAATTCTGATCAAAATATACAAACTGTCTGAAAATCTACAAGGGATAATGTCATCTAATTGTTTGTTTTACAATTAAAGGGAGACAGACTTAATCTCAGCTGTTAAAGTAAATATTTAGATGGTAACTTAATCTCAGCTCTATCTAGACAACTATACCGATAGCGGATATTGAGCTCTATCAGCTGATATAGTGAATATTTAGACTACTGTACAGACAGCTGACATTCACCTCTATCAGCTGGTAAAGTAAATATTTAGACTACTGTACAGATAGCTGAAATTGAGCTCTATCAGCTTGTGAAGTAGATATTTAGACTACTGTACAGATAGCTGAAATTGAGCTCTATTAGCTAGTAAAGTAGATATTTAGACTACTGCACAGATAACTGAAATTGAGCTCTATCAACTGGTAAAGCAAACATTTAGATTTGTACCCCTTTCATCAATTAATTCATTCCGTAAATATTAAATTTAAATAATTGTACAAATAAATTCAAAATATCTCACATATACTTTGTTCCCTTTCAATAAAAATATCACATACTTTCCTGCTGTCCTGAATCTTATTCCACTGTCATGATAAAAATAAAAATAAACCTAAAAAAAACACTGGTGACAGTTGTCTGAAAGTTAGTCAAGATTTTCATTAGTTTACGTCTTGAAATTTGATTGGTTAAATTATTAATGCGATAACATTGATACTTGAAGTTAATATCTAGAAATCTGATTGGCTAATATTATCACTGCAATAATATCAACCAACCAGCGTTCATAGTCCTAAATGTCTACGATTATCGTAATGCTTCTGAACACCAGCATTTTTTTCAGATTTCATAAAAAATAACTGAGGCTTTTACACATAGATAATAAAGACCAGCTTGAAATTTATAATCACGAGAAGCTCAAGATGAATTATACTGACAAATTAAGATCGTACAATCACTTTATTACAAATATAAGAAAGCTACAAAGTTTAAAAAAATACTACCTCTTATAATGGACATAAAATTGGTCAAACTTGGTCAACAAGTGTATATATTCAATAGATGGACTTACCAGGTGCTAGCACTAAAGAATAGAATCTCTATATATAATACGATATATCCATTATTGAAACATGCTTAAAATTACTTAGTTTAATGAATAATTACTTAGTTTAATGAATAATTACTTAGTTTAATGATTTTGTTTAATGAATAATTACTTAGTTTTATGGATTTATTGAATAGAGGAATTCTTTTGTATAGTTATGACACCACTGATGAACACCACTCATTTTAACCAAGTTTGAGAATTTACATTTTTTTGGTCATCCTAAGAGGTAGTATACCTTTAAAGTGATCTATCAGTGAAAGTTATTTAAGACTTGATCCTGTAGAACCTCACATACAGCTACAGTTTTAATAAGGAATAATCCCAGGGCAGCTGTTAACAGTCAGTGAAGTAAATTATCTAAATCATTGTCCTTTCTCTTCCTGAAATAAATATCAACACTAACAGACCTTCTTATCTTCTATACATTGAGAGGTGGGAGGGGGGAGTTACCTAGAAGGAAATAGCATTACAACTTTGGATTGGGGTGGGCTACCGGAAAATATTTTCTGAATCCATTCTATGGGGTTTCAGGGTGCATATTTCTGGGTCTTTATGGAGGAGGGGGGAGCCACTGTTAGATACCACTAAAATGACATCAGAAAACATATTTCTCAGTGGTAGACCCTTGTTGCATATTCTCGAATTGATCATTGCACTATATACTAGTGTTCTAACACTGTTTAGAGAATACATGGCATGGTTTGTCTTGATTAAGTTGGCTTGAGTAAGTATAAGTATTGATGGTGTAGGTGTATATCATTAAGAAAGAAACTGTTACTCACTTTTTGGAGGTTTTGGGTCTCTGGGCTGTTCTAGGCCGACCTGATTTAGATTTGTTATTTTTAGATTTTTTGGATTCTGCAGCCCCTTCAGCTGTATAGGCTAAATACACTGTGGATAAATCAACAGCATCTGCTCCCTGTTATAAATCATAGAATATAATTAGTTGAAATAAGTTGTACATACTTTAATTGCCTAATCAATTGTTTTGCACTTTATTGGTCTAATGAAATGGAGATTTACATTCAACTTTTCCCCACCTTATTGGTCTGCCAAAAGTTTTACAAACACGTCTTACGCTTGAGGGTTATTGAATGTATCACTGTTAGTGAGCCTTCGCCATCGTTGTCAAAGAAATGTTAAACTTTTGTGGAAAGAAAATCGTCTGGTTTAACCACAGAAATCTTTACTCTATGAGCATTCAGTGCTTTTTTTCTTTTTCTCCTTCTTTCTAAACTTGTTAAAAACTCTATGCTATTCCTAGATATAGAAAGTTTGACTATAAAAATATGGTCCTACCTTTTGTCTAGTTTTCTCTGGTTGTGGGGTCTGTTTTCTCATGTTATTACCAGTGTAAGCTACACATCGTAATTGCCATTCACCGATTTCTTCATTCCAGTTGACATGCTGCTCTATCATTTCCTATAATAATAATTTCAAAAATATCATGTGCTGTACTGTACTACAAAAACATGGCTATAATTCATGTTTCACTTTTGATTTTGTGTTCTTATAAACATGGCTATAATTCGTTTTTCACTTGGGCTCATGAACACACCATGCAGTTTACAGTGGGGGAAATTTTTGTCAGGACAGCGGACATAGCCGGTTCTTTTTTCGATTTTCAACTTTTGAGAGAAACTTTAACATGCACAGCCTGTAGAACACAAGGTCTTGGTTTATTATCCCATCAAAATAACCAGACATTTTTTCCATGTCAGCCCCTTGCAACATAGTTAAAGAATTGTCCTCTTTCACTTTGATTATGGTGGGAGGTAACCAATCATAGAAACAGACTGAAAATTCAAAGATTAAGAACTATGTGTGTAATTCTGTAAGGGGATCCTACCTGATATTCACGTGGTATAAAAGAATCGATGATCAACATCTGTAATTTTAATTCTCGACTCAACTGTCGGACATTTTCTAACAACCCTTCCATTTCTCTCTGATGTTCTTGTTGGAGGTCAGCTATCTAGAAAATAGAAAAAAATCCTCGTTTGGTCATCCTGTGAAAACAAAACATAAAGCTGTTCTTTTGGGGTAGTGCAAAGGATTTCAACCGCAGGGCCAATCACGTAGAAACATTTTCACTTTTCTTTGGGGACAATGTGAAGGTTATGAAAAATAAAACTATCCAACTGGCAAACATTGTCTCTGTCTATTCAAAGAATCATTTGCAGCATTTTTTACTCCATACTACAATGCCTGGTATCCAATCCCTACTTTCACTTTCGATACCTTGTTTTCATGCAAACACATACAAAAACTATTAATAATCTTTGGAATGGTGTTACGAATATAAGTCTGGATAGTATGTATTGTTTATTTTGTATCATTAAAAGAAATGTTTGAAACATGATAATTGTCAGTGCATGTTTTGGTCTAGCTATTAGCACAAGTTTTATTGGATCTAAAAGACAAATTTCGTTTTTATTTTAACTGCCAGTACATTAAATATAATTTAGAATATTTACCTCTGATTTGGCTTGCATCAACATTGTCCAGACTTTCTTTAGCTTTTTAGTTTTTCCAGTAATTTCTTCCTGTAGATTGGAATATTGTTCTTCAATATCCAGTCTCTCTTGCTAAAATTAGAATACAAACAGAACATTTAACTAAAATTGTTCTTCTGCAATTTCAGTATGGAACATGAGAATCACTAAAACACACACTATTGCATTGAATTACTTCATTAATAACCCTCTGCCAGTGCCTTCTGTAGATTAGTTGCTTGTCAATAATAACAGATTTCTTGTCAACCACCCTAATCTCTAATAATATATAAATATATATATTAACCTTGTGGTGGTACCTTAGTCACTTCTTGTTACTTATCATTAAACCTACCTCTTTGTCCTGCAAAGCTTTCCGTAATTCTTCCTCTTTAGCACGTTGTTCATCAAGTTCCTTGGCTGATTCCTCCAATAACCTTTCCTGTTCCTCCGCCTTCTCCAGCAGATTGACTCCGCCCACTATAATACGTTTCTCAATAGTGGCTAGCTGCTGTTCTAGCTGATTCTGTTCCTCCCTTGTTAAATAAAGAAAATATCAGATGTCCATTGGAGAACTTGGGTATGATATCAGAGTTAAACTATGGTGATGACAGGTGCTCAAAAAAGGACCATATAAATTGGTTGCCTCACAAAATCAATGAGTTACCTTCTACACTGGGGATTTTCAACTTTTTCCTTTCTATTACAAAAAAAAAATCCTTCCCCCCCCAAAAAAAATCCTTATTATTTCATGATTTTCTCTTGGGTTTTTCCCTGAAGTCTTTTATGTCAAAGGATATTGCTTGACTGAATAGTACAACTTCAATTATGATTGTCAAATATTTTATCCTAGACTCGTTAAGCGTTTCATTACGTCTCAAAAATTTCAAAAGTACCCCCAGGTAGCCCCTGCCCTACACATATCAAGATATTGACAATATCTAATTAATCTTTATCTCACTGATATTGTTTGAGTTCCTCTTCTTTTTCTTCTAAATCGAATTTGATACGATTTCTTTCTTCATCAGCCATATCTTTAGTTTCCGCTAGCAACCGTCTGTCTGCCTCAATCTTCGCTTGTATTTCAGCCATTTTTTCTTTAGAGATTTTCTTATGGCCTACGAAATATCATGATTTATTTAGTAGGATACACAGTCTACTTACTAAAGAAATATTTATCATATGCGATGCCAAGCTCAAGTCTTATTTAATAGGTTTAAGAAGGAAGAACATTTTTTTTATGTCTAAGATCTGATAGCACGAAAATCCAACATAATATTAAATTCACACAGGTAATTTTTCAGGGCTTTAGAAAGCAAAAAACGGCCTGCTATTGAATAAGAAATAAGTTTGGCATCATCTTAAAAGATTTAGAATTCTTCAGAACAAGTAGTGGTATATAATAAGAGAAATTTAGTGCTGTAGAAAAATTCACAAAAAAATGTATATTTCACATTTATAAAGTAGGGAAAACTATACTTTTAATCTAACAAATGTAGAAATCTATTAGAGCTGTTTTTAAAAGTGAGTGCTTTATTTCTGTCAAATTCAAACCAAAATGTGTTATAATTTAGCAGCAAACACAATGGGTTGACAAAAGGGTGCATTCAACTAAAAGGTTCCTACAAAAGGTTGCATTTGGTGCATTTGACTAAAAGGCTAACAGAAGGGTGTATTTAACTAGAGGGGTCACAAAAAATAGGGGTCACACTAAGGGTGCATTCAACTAGAGGGTTCACACAGATGGTGCATTCAACAAGAGGGTTCCCTAAAAAGGGTACATCTATTGTGAGGGTGCATTTGACTAGAGGAGTCACACAGATGTTGAAGGGTGCAAAAAGGCATTAAAGGGATTGTAAAGAGGTTTTCTAAATTTTGTATGCGATACAAGCAAATTTTGCAACATCTTAAAACACTTCGTTTTAGTGGAATTGCAGGAACCACAGATGTCTGAAAATTGGAATGGTGCAAATTAATGCTATCAGTGTCCCCGATAAGCAGACAAAATCTAGAAATCCTCTTTACAATTCCTTTAAGCTAAAAGCAGGTAGTGCACACACAAAACAAAGGTCAAGCATTCACTACAATCGTCACAAGCGTCAATCCAATCTCAAAACAGACTTGACTTACCACTTGTATCTGGAATCACAGAATAAGAGGTTATGGATGAATGAAGATTTAAAAAGAAAGGAATGAAATAAGAATTGTGTTTCTATCTAGGAAAGGATTATAGAGATTACAATAAGAAGGAAACTGAGTAAATTGGAGAAATTTAAAAAAAGAAGTCTCTTTCAAATTTCAAATATAAGTTTCTTGCGAATATTGAAAAATGAGCCTTTTTAGTCTTGCCAAGATATTTAAGACTATCTGAGAACAATTCCATCAATTTACAAAAACAGTTCACTTGAATTTGAAATCGAATAAATGATTATTGAAACAGAACAATTCGAGCTAGATTATGTATCTTGAGTAGTGTTTTATTCTGGCATAGACCAAAATGCTACATTCAGATTTTTCTGCTGGATTTCACTCTGTTATGGCTTCAGGTCAGAGCAGCTGATATCTTAAAGAAGACATCTGGTCGTTGGAAAGGACAATAATAAATAAATAAAGCAATGTATTTTTTCGTTGATCTGATAAATGTTGAGTAATAAAACTTACTACGTCGGCGTTTTTTCTTTCGGACAACCCCGTCTGCTCCAATAACTTCTTCTTCACTTTCATCATCATCATCTTCATCCTCGCTTCCAGACACACCTAGAATAACACAACACCCCTTAATCTATTATCAAACTTCTTCAAAATCACAATGGTTGACAAATCTCTTTACAAGTCCCATATCACCGATCAAATTCTGCAAATTTGGATATGGATATGCAATGGATATCAGCTTATACTAATGATACGTATATACTGATGAGTTCATTTTTAACTGTTGTCTGTCAAATGATTTTGGTTTCAGGAACGATATTTGTCTTGTTACTGTATCTGAATATGTGTGTAATCAATAAAATATGCTAGAAAATTAGGTCATGAATACAGTGAAGAAAGAGATTTGGATAATTCTGCTGGCAAAATTTCCTTCATTGTTAATTTCATTAGCCTGATAAGCAATAGAGCCGATTACCTGATTGATCTTATTGCAAAGAAAGTTCCTACACAAAATCTGAGATCTAGCGAAAAAATCTACTACAAGTGCCAAACTATAGCATGAAAACGTATGGTTTCCGTGCTTTTTCATTGACCGCAACCAACGTTTGGAATAACCTCCTTGTGTCTTCAGAAAGTTTAAAATCCTTGCCAACACACAAAATGTTCAAGAACAAAGTGAAAACTGTTTTATTCGACTCTTGTCTTTATACCTTTTTTGTTTGCGCTATAAGCACCCTTTTGTGTGGGGTTTAGTGCTATAGAAATATACACATTATGATATGCACTCCAATGTGACATAGATTATGAAACATTTGTTCCGTTTTTTCTTAGCTTTTTTTTAAATCTAGCCACTACAGTTAGTGTCTAACAATGGTCCTCTTTCATATTCATCCTAATAACCTTTTGACCTAACCTGATGACTTACCATCTTCTAGCTGTTTCTTTAAATCTTCAATCTCCTTCTGATAAAGACGTAACAGAGCATCTTTAGGGTCCTCGTTTATCTTAGCTTTATTCTTGATACTTTTAGCTCTGTTAGCGTAACGTAGGGTACTAATAGATTCATCATAGTTATAATCAGCCGGGCCAATATTAGCTATCTGTAAACAAACAATATATATGTTTGTGAGCAGGGTTGGAGAAATTTCATTTCAAACATTGTTTTTTTATATATTTTAAGCCCTTCCCTACTAAAAATTTGCAGCTCGTGTGCCAATGTTTAATAGTTTGAGGGAAAATTTTTGTCGGATTTGATCAAACATAAGGAAAATTATAATACTGTCCCATTTAGAATGCATAAAGTTCGCCCCGAAACTGTTTTGCCCTGTATCTTGGTAATTTGACAAACTCATTAAATTTTCTTAGCTCCTAGAAATTTCTAGATCAGACATCTAACAGATTTCTTGATTTTTAATACTCTGTTTTACTCACCATAACAGTCTTAGAATTTCCTCCCAATGAATCTTGAAGCAGACGTGTTAGTTTAGAATTACGGTAGGGAATATGGCTGCTCTTCCCGTCCACCAGAGCTGAGATAACATTGCCCAGAGTTGACAGAGACAGATTAATCTTCGTAGCTTCTTTCAACCTCATACCAGATGCTCCTGTTTTAGCCTGTCTCTCTGATCCCTGAGAAAAAAAAGGAATTTCACTTTTGAATTATTAATTAAATAGAACAGCTAAAATTATAATTGTCAAAAAATTTATGCTAGATTACCACGAGCGTCATTCATCCCTAAAAATTTCAAGGGTAATAAACTCCCTTGTTAAAACCCCTAGACTAAGTCATACTTACAGCTAAATCTACTAGATGTAGTTTACCAACACGGAAATGTTGTTCTCCATCTATACCTTTCTCACTACATTCTATAGTTACAGTAAATATAGCATGGGATCGGGAACTCGTCTGATTCATATTGGTGGCTCCAACATGACCTGGAAGAACAATTTATATCATTCAATACAGTGAATGAAATGAACAGAGTTTTACATCCTACTTTTCTGCACCATGTTGGGTTATGAAGACGAAAGACGCTATACAGGGTACAATGAGAGAAATTTTGTCAGGACAGCGGCTTTAGTCTGCTCTTTTTCAATTTCCAACTGTCGAGGGATCTTTAACGTGCACAGCCTGTAGCACACAGGGCCTCGGTTTATTGTCCCATCCATGTCAGCTCTCGTACCTGCATCATTGAAAGAGGGAAACCAGGTTGAATAATCCGAAGGTATCATCTCGACCTATGCCGGGATTGATCCCTGGACCTTCAGGTTAGCGAGCAAACGGCTAACTCACTTAGCCACTGAAGCTCCCAAATAGAGGATAAGGATGAGATCAAGTGTATTATAGCTCAGTATACGATTTGTTGAAGTAATATTTTAGACTTTTAAGAGAAGTTTTAAACTGTTCTGTAAAAAAAATTAATAACTTACGATTCTTGTTTCCGATGGTCATTATTCTATCCATATCATCAGCGTTATAAACTACAAACTTGGATAAATCTTTTACATAGACTCCTACATCAGGTCTTTCTTTAACCTACAAAATAAAATAAACAAAGACTTGAACATCAGGTGATTCTTTAACCTATAATACAAATTAATCAAATTAATTGTGGTTATATAAAACACAGTCGATAGTTCTTTCGAAGTTACATTGAACAATGGTGGCAGTGGGTTCTTTTCTTGATCAACGTGTGAAAGCCTGGTGACCTTGAATTAGCCATCTACACTCATAATTCAAGTCGACCCAGCTGTAAATGGGTACTAATGAAAGATCAAATGCAGTCGGTAAAAAGGATGCTTAACTGTGAACCTTACTTTCTTTCATTACATATCCAAAAAGACAATAAAATGAAACTACTGACCTCTAGCCTTTGTGTCTGATCTTTACCCAGTAAATCTCGTACTTCTTCATTGTATATCTCTAGATATGACACTCGTACTAAAAACCTTACAAAATAAAAATAACATGTTTACCCTTCAGACAACCTTCATTATTATTAAATACAGATGATGTACTTGGTCATTGCCATAGTATTTTTTGTCTCTGGCAGCCCCAACCTCGAAGGGCTTCAGTCATTACCTTGTAGTGACACATCTCATTTTTGGCCCCCTCCCTTTTCTAGATATGCTCCTGAAAGAAACTACCGTACTCATGTCTTTTGATGTTACTTTTCCTGAAGAAAAACTGTGCCACTATAAACAACTCAAAAATTCACACTCACTTTATGTCTCCTTCACATTTTGCTATGGCTCCGAATATATGAGCGAAAGAATTCGGAATAATGCCCCGTAATTCTGGTATAGTACGAACACCTTCCATGGTGAATGTTTTACCAGTTCCCGTCTGGCCATAGGCAAATATCGTTCCTGAAACATATCAAAATAAATAGTCTTCAGTCTGTATCCCACTTTTGAATTAAATGGTGTTAAAGGGACAGATTCACCATTCATTTGACTAATCGAACCTTAGTCTCAGAAAAGGGAATGTTTTAGCTAAGGTATTAAATCAGAAATAATCCATATGTATCCAGAATTATACCTGTCTGTGCCATGCTCCGAAAGTTCAAAGTAAAATGGATAAAAAAAAGTAAGGTGTACATACTGCTTATGCAAGATCTGAAGGTGTTATGAAATAAAATTTAAGGTAAAGTACTTAATTTTAAGTTTTTAGGGCTAACTTTACTTTACTAATATAGACACATATTGTGCTATTAGGGGGTTTATAATAACACATTTTATAAAATTAAAACGTGGTTGCAGAACAGGAAGTGAAAAAAAATATTAATACAGAGCTAGCATACATAATAATTACATCAGCAATAAAACAATAGTTTCGTATTTGGGGATAATAAGGCCAACACAAAGTAATAAGGCCACTTAATTTTATTTAAGTAATACCCATACTAATATAAATAAGGCCGAAACAAGATGATATTTGGGTCTAATATGAATAAATATATATAACACACATACCATTAAAACCTTCGAGAACACAATCTACAACAGGTCTAGCTATAACATTATATACATCAACTTGTTTACAGTCAGGTCCAAACACAATATCAAACGTAAATGTTTTAGGTGGTTCACCTTGAGCAGCATTCCGATTTTCAACTGTGAATGTTCCTTGAACAGAATCAACCTGAAAAAAGAATTAAGGCTGAATTTTTCATTCCAGATTGAGCTAATGCCAGGAAATGTCATTCAGTGCAGTGTGTAATCAGGGAAATTTTGTCAAGGCAGAGCCAATTTTTCAATTTTCAACATGCAAGGGTTATTTAAGGATCTGGAATTTGAGACATTGTCATCACTATCTTTTGGTGTTCAGTCAACTTGTCTACATGTCAACTCGTCAACAAACTAGAGTAAACTTGTCTACAACCTTGAGTTATCTCGTCAACAACCTTTAGTTATCTCGTCAACAACCTTGAGTTAACTCAACAACAACCTTGAGTTATGTCTTCAACACAAATTATTGAAATAAAGATGTTATTTTATTATTTATTTTATTGTGGGTTTTGTTTTAATAAATATCTTTAAACATGGCATCGGTTGTGAGTGATCATTCAATTAAATTAACAGAGATCAGCAGTTAATAAACAATTTAACAAACCAATTATTATAATTACCAATCAAAACCCAATACTGATATTTCACATTTGTAAGAATAGGCCTAAAATTATACCATTTTGATCCGAAATCAGATCAGGAAAATTGCGTCTCGTCTGCTATGCAATTTGACCTCAGTCAGAAAAAGGTAACATCAGAAACATATTTGCAACAATCAATGATATATATTTTACTGAATTCTACCCACTTTTACTACATTCACACAACTATTTTCTTTCTCTTTTTCGTTCAATGGTCGACATCGAACAGCCACTCGAACATTGTCCACGTCTCGTAGGCTCTTTCCACCAGACTCCTAGAATATAAAATAGTGAAATAAACCAATTCAAGAGTCTAAACAGTAGAAAAATAATAGAATTCATCATCATATTTATTCTCTCCCTTTAACTGGTCATGGGTTTGGGAGGGAATAAATAAAATATCCATAATTGGGATACTGAGTTATTTTTTTCTTTGTACAAACTAGGCACTGGACAAAGGTAGAAAATTAATTGTTAACAGATCAAATTATAAAATTGGCATGCATATCTTCCATAGATTCACAAATACCATCAATCACAGGGCCAGGGCAACTTTTATTATCATCATAGGGCCTGGTCATAGATATAGGCCTACAATATGATTGAAAGCTTCTGTAGGAATTCAGCAGATTCGAATCTGAGTTCAAATCATGAGCTACACCTAAGGCTATCATATTATTTAGAAAGCTGAACAGTAAAATTTCAGGAAACGGAGATTGGCTGCATCAAGTTGATCTGTCAAAAATGTAAACAATTAATCTTGTTGATGGTTACCATTTGGAAAGAAATCGTGAAAATCTGGGGATATTTTCAACTTTGTAACATATTACAATTTTCAACAAACACATAATGAATAAATATTAATCACTGACCGGCATTCTGCTTTAGAACGATGAAAAACAAGTCAAAATTTAAAAGAAAACAAAAATTTTACAAATCAAAACATTTTCATTCATTAGGTATTTTCTGTCTGGGACTGAATAGTTTTAAGAATTCTGATTGGTTGAAAATATTTAATAGTGTCTAAATACTGGATACAGAGTTATTAAGATTTCAGACTACAAGTAACTTCTACATAAGATTTGTAATGAGCGTAATATTTGGATATGTTTTTTCCCTTAAAATGAATGAATGAATAAATCTGCCTTATGAATGGATGAATTAATCAGCCTATATGAATGAATGAATGAATCTTCCGTATGGATGAATGAATGGATGAATGGATGAATGAATCTATCCTAAAATAAAGTCTGAAGACACCACAGTCAATGACATTAAGTAGTCATTTCCTACTCGCCCTGTTTAAAAATGGGTTGAAATTTTTCAATATGGCTACATCATTTCATCTTCAATATTTGGTGATTTGCTTATTGTATGTATTCAGTGATTTCGGTGAGTTCCTTTCTTTTTGCGTCTGTGGGTGCAGCAGTTTGGCTCTTTTAAGGATCTTCTGGTATCTGCAAGGGTAAAATTCTTCGTTAGCCTATAGGCATTCATCCTCAAGCAAAGACGAACTTCGTACTTATACATTGACTGCAATAGCAACCTTTCTTATATCTCAGAAGTTTGCTAATGCGGAGGTTTGATTGGATTGTACCCTTGAAAATACAACCAATCAGAGACGCAAAGTCTGTGAACTAAATGCCATTATGGTTACGATACAACTTTTTCTGTCGAAGGCTATGATGGGCTGTATTCCCCTGCGTATAATCCAATCAATTCGTTGCACTCGGCGATACAAGAATAGTGGCTATTGCAATATAAGTTATAAATTCGTATTAGTTTGTTATTGTGATAGATATTGAGGATTGATTGCTTCGATCCGATGGGTAATTATACCAATTTGAAATGTTTGTACTAGGCTACGCATGTAGAATAAGTGTTTTTAATTATTCTGTTATAGGCTGCCTATCATATGATGGAAGAACAGTGGGTCCAGCTATAGCTACAGTAGAAACTAAGAAAGACACTGTATCTATTCGACTACAGCGAGTTACCCCGTCTGTTCTCTACAAGAAATTTAGCAATGATATCAAGGGAGAGATCTATGTAAGTTATTAATACATTATGCTGTTGCTCAACTGGATCAGTGGGCCCAAATGGGTTGAGTTGAGACCGCCTGGGAAATCCCCTATTTAACACATGCTTTCCTTCAGACCCTCTGTATGTCAACTTAATGCCTGTTAACGGACTATTTAAAGGTTTTTAGTCTGTAGTTAATGATTTTTCACTCATTTATATATCGATGTCATAAAACTATAAGATCACCAAAAACCGGTGTTTCAATATAGATGCTTTTAAAGTACAAGTTTACACTCATTTTGAACCCCCTACCTTTAATAGATTTACAAATATTATAAATATATTAAAAGGTCACCTATTCATTGATAACAAAGGGTCTATTTTGTAGATATGATCTTTCTGGCGTGAGGTTTTGCCTTCATCCTAAAAAGTAAATTTCAAGAAAAAAGTCAGTTATGGCCCTATAGTTCTATGACAACGATATATATATATTGGTAGTTGAGCCTGTCATAGTGTCAATACTTCTCTTGACATCTTGTACGAAGCTTTTTGGGTTTGCAATGGGACATTTTGCCATATCACCGTGGCATATAAGCCAACTTTTTTTCTTTCGCTTTCAAACTTCCACAGTCTGTATGTAGCATGTGATCTGCGTTTATTGTTTTTCAAGTGGTCCCTTTTCCATGCCAGTGCCCCTAACCTGCGTCACTGCACTGGTTAGAAAGGAATTGTCTAACTCACTGAGACCCCCTCCCCCCTTCCATTCCCCGGCGTTATTGGTTTATGTCACAACTCAGATATTATAGTGAATAAGCAATGCAAACCTTTCTTTGTAGAGTTCTAATTTAGAAGGAACTATTAAAGAAGCAAAGAGGAATGGATACAGTGGACTAACGTTCGACTATCGTAATAATATGTACTATGTGATACATACAGAGACTGACAGAGCCGTGGGCAATATCCTGGTAAGTATAATCATCCACCCTAGTCACAGAGGCCGTGTTTTCTGTATTGTCTAATTTGGTTACCATCCGAAAAGGGAAGACATGAGCAAAACAGTGACAGTACACCTAATTTATAAAGAAAAAAGAAAGCATTCTGTTTACATTATAACAACTAACGGGAACAATGACTGGTTAAAAATGTATGCAACGTTTCGACATGTTTCTCCCGTCTCCCTCAACCACATATAGCTATATTACCCTCTCGAAAGACCCTGTTTGGTGACAAGCATGTTTTATCTCATTCATGATACCAGAGCACTACTACTTGTAGCAATTTACAAACTGAATATTCAAACTAAATATTTTCATTATGTAAATTGTAGGGATTCTATGCGTCTGGAAACCACGAAGAGAGCCCAGGTCCTATTCTACTATATTCTGGATTATCTCCAACTGTTAAATGTAAGTTTTTATCAAAGACTGACTAAAAATACATTCTAAAAGAAAACATTGCTCTAAGTACCATCAACATATAATGCAGTCCTCTGCTAATGCTAATACATATGAATAGAAAGTAGAGGTGTTCTAATGACTTGGAAAAATACAGGTTTGTCTCACATGTCCATAATTAATTCATAATTAGCTAAATTAGAAGAGAATTCCCAGCAGAATTCCCATGGGTGACCGATCAAGAAAGGTCAAAAAGTCTTTTTTGTTTATCCAGACTGTACATTCATGGACGTTTATGATTGGTTAAAACTCTTAATTATATGCAATAAGAACATAATGATATGATTAAGAATACATGATAATTCATTAGAAAAACCGATTAATCAAATAATTTGCTGAATTTGACCTTAAAAAATAAGGAAACCCATTTTTAAAGTTTCAACTCATCCTTGACTTGTAAGATTGTAAGAGGGGTTACTGGGTAGTGGTTCTGTTTGAAGCATTCCGATTTCTCGTATAACGGCTATAAAGCCTGAAATTCTGTTAATTTGTAGAACAATATAGAAAACCTTTCAACAATCCCCCTGGGAATCAATGGTGTCCCAACCTGGGGGTGTGGGACTAGGGTGTCAGGGGTGTGGCCAACTGGTGTAGGAGAAGAATTGATTTTGGATTGAGAGAGCACCTCATATCATCAAATGCAAATGTGGATGCAACAAATTTTTGAGGGTGTGA